TGGTTTGTGACGTAAGCGTGAATAGAGCCTGTTACAACCATCTGCCTGCGGGGGAGGAGTTTGAAGAGGGGACCAATCACACTGTCCCTTATACCCTCAGACCTCACCCTTCCTCTTCTTCGCTCTCCCCGTTAGTCCTCCAGGTACCGCCCGGTCTAGCAGCTCTTATCTGAAACCGTTTTCGCCAGCGCTGATGTGTTTAATCCCACTTCAAGGACAAATAAAGCAAGCTAAGCCTTTTCTATTACTACAGACACAGAGGGGTAACGCGCTATAATGAGACTCAAACACGGGAGAGTCCAAATAAATAGTACAAACGATAGATCAAATACGCATAAAGGAACACAAAAGGCACGGGGAGATGAAACGGAAATATACAGAAGGGGAAGACCGGGAGGCTGTTCCACTAAAGCAACACTGGAGGGCGCTCTACCGGCTCAAATACCCAGGTGTATTCTAAACTCCATATGTGTGTATACTGGAAGGACTATATAAAGCGTGGAAATAGAGGATTCTCTTTTAAAACACAGATCACTGCAGCAGGACGAAGGGTACATGGATGAGCTTGTGTGGTTTTGTAACATGTGAGAGAGGGATCGGCAGTAGAAGAATAGGACAGAGCAGCCACGACCGCTTCGCTTTTCGAGCCTAGATTGAAGTATTGTCGATCTAGGTGATGATGTTTCCTCGTCACAAACGTTCCCGGAGTTGTGTTTCGTTTCGTTCGCACGTTTAACTCGCAAATCCTGCATGTTTAGGCTGTGAAAATTCTCTGTTCTGCCTTGTGACGTCATTAAGCGGTAACAGGAAGTGCCCCGTGGTGTTTTTAAACTCAACACACCTTCACTAGAATCATTTGGGTAATTTCAGTCCTTTTTTTGAATTTAGTTATTGTTTTAGCCTCACTGAAACTGCGTCACTCCTCAATGCACTAGCAGATATTAGAGAATTTCTGTGACAATCAACTGAACAAAAAATATTCAAAAATAAAAGCAATACCAATAATAATATATATTCTACAGTACTGCAGAGTAAATCAGTTCAGTTGAGCCAAAGAAGTTAATTTTGTCTTCTTATGGACTTTAACTTCTTGGGTTCTTTTTAAAGACAATACAGTAGGAGGTGTATTTACCTTGTTGACGTGTTTTGGCTGCTGCTGCATCATCAGAACTGTCCTCGGTGTTGGTGTTGATGTGCCGTATATGAGCTGTTGTTACTTCCTGTAGGCCTGGTTGCAGGTGTGTGAAAAGAGGAACGCTCCTCATCGCGGTTAATGTTGTCCGTGCCTCGTTTCCTGATTTCAATATCCTCCCTGATCCAGCGTTTGAACTTGTTGTTTTCCGACCATGACAAGAGGAAACGAGGCACGGGCAGCATTAACCGTGATGACGGAGCGTTCCTCCTTTCACACACCTGGGACACCCTCCTCCAGAGAACACCGGGCGACGGGAGGTGTGGTCAGTCCGAGCGAACTGCCAGGAACATCAGGCTGACCACGCGAACAGGCGAAGTAACGACAGCTGATATATGACACGTCACCACCGGGGTCAGCCCTATGTTCCCTCATTTCTCAAAATGAAACTCTAAGTCATGTCCTTTTTATATTTATACCACATTTAAATGATGATTCAGAGTCATTTCATCCTAGGATCCTTTGCGCCATGACCTCTACATTACATCTGTAGTCAACTGCTGCTGGATAATAGGTTGGTGTAACTGACTAACAAATTGGAAGAAATGGGAATGCTGTTTGCCTGACGAGGGCCTGGCGCCGAAACGTTGCACGGTTTCTCCTAATAAATCTCACAATTTGTAAGTAAAATGGTGTGTGGGATTTTTCTCCATGTTCTTGGGCTGCTCCCTCTCGTCCGACGCACCCATCTCTAGTAAGAGATGTGCAAAGTTCTCATTCTTTTATATCAAGGAAATGGGAATAAAATCTGATGCAAACTGGTGATGATAAAGGAAATGTGGGAAAATAGGGCCTAATTTAGGGGGAAAACAATGTAGAAAAAACTTAGAAATGAGGGAACATAGAGTTGTGGGAACATAGGCACACTCCTGTCTCCACCAACACCAGGACAGCTCTGAAGATGCAGCAGCAGCAGCCGAAACAAGTCAAAGAGGTAAATACACTTTACTGAATTGCCTTTAAAAAGAAGTCAACTTAAAAGTTACAGTTAGTAATAATAAAGAATTACTCAAATATGTGTGAATGAAACAAAACACAACTCCAAGTTATGAAATATTGACATCCATTTTGTACTTTCACATTTGAAGACATTTCTTTAAAAGCTTCTTTTTTCAAAACCTGATTGTCCCTGCTGAGGGGAGACAGTGAAGCGTTGGCCCTCTAACGGGAGCGACACCAGTTCAAATCTCTAAATGTGTACTTTTATTCTGTGCCCGAACATACTACTATACTACCAGTCAAAAGTTTGAACACAACTTATGTATCGTATCGTGGCCTGTGTATCGAGGTATGTGTCATATCAGCAACTTCTTAACGATACCCAGCCTTATTTTTCAGTGTCTTTTTTTTCTTTAAGTTTAACACTTTACACTATTTATTGTATATACACACAGAAGGCATCAAATGGTGTAAGATACAGTATATGGAATTATGTAGTACGGAAAAAAATCCTTAAAGTATCCATCCTTTACGTTGTCGATAGTGCTACAAACCCTTGGGCTTCTCTCAGCGAGCTTCATGGTGAAGTCTCCTGAAATGGTTTTCCCTTCACAGCTGTGCCATGTCAGGGTCAAGAAATGCCAAAGTGCAAACCAGAGTTCAGAGCAAAGGGGGGGGGGTCATTCCACGTGTGTCCAGTCATAGTTTTGATGCCTTCAGTGAGAATCTCCAACCTCTGTGAAGTCGACCCTGTCAAACGCAAATGTACACAAAAACTATGGCAATCTTTTGTGCTGTTTTGTGTTGCAAAAAGTTTTGTTTGTACTGTTTTAGTTTTGGAAATATTAATGATTCTTTAGGTCAAATTGGGGTCAGCCAGCCCCTAGAAAGCTTCCAAATGCTTTAAAACGCACAAAATGGTGTTAATTGTTTGTGCTTCGTTTGTGCTGCAAAAAATGTTGTTTGTGTGATTATGGTTCTTAAAATATTAGCAGGTTTCTTTCGGACAATCTGTCATCCAGCCCCTTAAAATGTTAAATAGCCTCAAAACAGGCAGAAAATAATACATACCTACAGACAGGTTTGGGGTTCTACATGTAAGACATATCTCAACAAGATTTTATTATTACTTTTTTTTTTTTTAAGAATTATGAATTATTCACACAGATTGTCCTCATCTGCTCCTCTGTTCAGAAAATACAATATTCTGACAATATTTAATGTAAACATATATTGTATTTGTTCATGTATAAATATGTGCATTTGTCAAATGTTTTACCCAGATCTTTTGACAACTTTTTCATGTTCTCTTCAGGTGTTCACACCTGAACTATGAGACATTGCAGAGACTTTTATCTTCCTTTGTACAGAATTTCCATAAATCAAAGAACACTCAAGTTCAGAGGACCAACCCTCTGGAATAATTAAGCAAATACTCTCAAATCAATTTCCTCACTCGACAAGGCTGTTTAATATTTGAACTACTGAAAGTCAACTTGTCTGTTCATGTCTGTTGTAAGGGAGGTGATCTTATAAGACTTCTCATTCTCTCCTGCACAGTCATTTCTCTATCGGTCTGTTCAAAAAAATTTTTGTAATATATGTGCAAATAAAATCTGTCTATCTATCTGTCTATCTGTCTGTCTGTCTATCTATTTACTTGAGATCGTTTCTCTTCACTAGTTTTGTTAAGTTTTGCTAAAGTCGCTGCCGTCATCTGAGCGGAAATGACATCATATAATTTCCGCAAAAATAATAATTAATAATTTTAGAAATATACTCACACAAATGAAAACAGTCACAGCACAAAACAGCACAAAAAAATTACAAACATTTCGTATAATTTCCTGCCTGTTTTGAGGTTATTTAACATTTTGTGGAGCTGATTGACATCACCGGCCGAAAATAAAACTGTTAATATCTTAAAATCCATAATCGCACAAATGAAACTTTTTGCAGCACAAACGAATGACACAATTTGGGGCTGTTTTAGAGCATTTTGAAGCTTCCTGAGGGCTGGCTGAACCCAATTTGACCTATAAAAAAATCATTAGTATCTCCAAAACTAAAGCAGCACAAATTTCACTTTTTCCAGCACAAACAAAGCACCAACGACATAATTTTTGAGTAGGTGTGCGTTTGACAGTGGGCCAACTTTACACAGGTGAATCTACAATGTAAACATAAACGAAAAAGTGTGTTCAAACTTTTGACAGGTAGTGTAAAAAGAAAAGCCAAAAAATTAGGTTCACAAAATCACTTAATAACATTGTGTGTGTGTGGATTTCTAAGCTATTCTTCTACTGTCCGTTTTCATAATCAACAACACCAACCGAACATGTTGAAAGCATCTGTGTGTGCTTTTTTGAATGCATGTGTGTGTATGCTGTGTGTCTGTCCGTGTGATGTGTTATAATCATGGGTGCACATCTATATAATCTCTGGGGTTGATGGGACACTACTGCACGCTTTGGGAGGACACTGACGCCGTTTGCAGGACTACACGCACACGCACGCACACACGCAACGACACGAGAAGCACGTACGCGACGACATGTGAACGGAGCTAACTGCAGCCATCCACTCGGAAACGCGGGAGAGACGCCAAGTCCAGAAGCGCACGAAAATCCTTTTAGTTTAGTTTAGTGTTCAAAAATACTCTTGTCATCTCGCTCGGTCTGTTCGTGTGCTTGTTTTTGTGCCTTTCCCTGTGTTAGCGCGTCAGCTTCTCTGTGCTATCCAGAGTCTCAGGGGGCGGGGGGATTGTGCTTGTCGATCCCGGAGCGGCGGCAGAGGTCGGCGGTTGTGTGAAGGGAGGGCGGAGTGGAGCAGCGGCCCTCCTCCTCTTCCTCCTCCTCCTCCTCCTCCTCCTCCTCCTCCACCTCTGGAATGGTCACAGAGCCGCGCCCGGGCCTGTGGAAGTCCGTCTGTCGCAGATAGACCGGGGAAGGGGAAGGAGGCGGGCCAGACGCAGGCGGGGACGGGGGCGGGGTCAGTCCAACATGGCGTCCAGCTGGTCGGCCAAGTCGTCGAACATGCTGCCGATGTCATCCAGGATGGAGACGGTGGCCTTCTTGTGGGACAGAGAGCTGTAACACATGTGGTACACATTATTTTCTCATTGTACTGACTTTTAAACTACAGAGCTAAAAACAGATATTGGTCACCTGTTGGTCGCCTTGACATTTGTAATTCATTTTTTAGAGCTCAAAGCCATAGCATCTATTTTGTATATCTTATACATGTGGAGAAATTGACAAATAAAGGCATTCATTCATTAAGAAAAAAAGACAGGGCATGGTCTAGGAATTGTCGCTGCATTGTCTTCCATCCATTTCTAGTCTCCTCATGTCATGTTTTATGTGGTTGTAACACATGGATGGGGTGACACGTCCAATTTCAGTCCCTTTGTATGTTGTGTCCATGTGAAGAAATTGACAAATAAAGGCATTCATTCATGTAACTGTTTGCACTGAAACACATGGGTCCTTACTGTGCTTCTCCATAAACCTGACTCTTAGCCAGGAGGGGGGAGCCCTACTCCTGCTTGTTTTCCTTGAATATATTGTAACTTCCTCCTTGGAGAAAGTTCTAAAGTATGGTTTTAACTTTATTCCCATGCAACGAACATGCCACCTCCAGAAAGTTACAGACTGTAATTCTAAAATGAAGCCTATGTCCCTGTTTGCAGCTCCCTCTGCTGGCAGCAACAGACATGAACCATGAAGAAAAAAAAGATTTCAGTATCTATTAAGTGTCAGGGCCACTGTGCTCATATCTCACCCGTGTGTTTGTGTTGAACACAGTTAATGAAATCATTAGATTATTGAAATCTCTGTGATTTTTTTAACATGGTTAAAATTTCTTTTGAAAACTTGCTCCATATATTTCAGTTTGCTTTCTATCTGCAACTGTGGAGCAACAGTGGGGTTTGATCCACATTGTTGTTGTGCTTTGTGCTTTTCAGCAAAGTTCAGTTTGTCATCTGGACAAATGTTTATTCAGGTCAAAATGTTTCGCAGCTCATCCAAGCTGCTTCTTCACTTCAGAAATGAAGAAGCAGAAACGTTTTCGACCTAAACCTTTGTCCAGTTGACAAATTGGATTTCTCCTTTACCACGGATTCTACCTGAATGACTGAAGGATTCTACACACATGTTGTGCTTTTTGACACTTGACCCACCATGGCCATGTGTGAATATGGTCTGAGTGGCAGAGGGCACAGATAAGCAGCCTCGCTTCCACCTGTCTACCTCAGGGCAGCTGTGGCTACAGAAGTGACTTAACCATAAACAGGTGGGTGTGACTACAATAATGTGTTTCCTTTTATTTAAATCAAACACATTATTATTATCCTGATCATCTCCATTTACACTCACTCGTTTTGCTTGTCCTCCTCTGTGATCTTGTGCTCCACAGCCTCCAGCGCTGCAGCCAGGGAGGCGCTGGTCTCCTCCAGGCGCTGCTGTCCTTCTCCCTCTGTCTTCTCTGCTCCATCCGCTGCGCTCTGTGCTTCTTCATCGGACTTGTGTTGCCTCTGACCGTCCTCTTCTCTACCCCCGCCCTCCCTCTCCTCCTCCAGGTCCCGCAGGCTGCTCAGGTCGATGGAGAGCCCGGCGATGGAGGAACGCGGGGGCTTGACCGGGTGCGGGGTGGGGCTGGATGGGCTCTGGGCGGGAGAGGGAGAGGTGAGGGGCAGTCCCGGGGAGAGCGAGGCCGCCGATGGGGTCTCGGGGGCAGGTAGGGGGCCGCGGGGGAGCTGGGTCTGGGTGCAGGGATGGGTGCTTGCAGAGGGGTGAGGGTGGGTGCTTGCAGAGGGGTGGGGGTGGGTGCAGGGGCGGGGCTGGTTGCACTGGGGCTGGCGGCGGGCGAGGCTGCTATGGCTTTGCCGGGTTTGGGGGCCGTTGGGGGTCCACGAGGTTTGGGGGAGACGGGAGGAGGGATGCGTTTAGGTTCTGCGCAAAACAAAAAATCAGACAAAAGCAAATCAAAGAAAAGTCTAATTAGAAGGGAAAAAAACCCCAAAACTACCTGTTCAGACCATAGACTGTATATGTAAATGGACATAGTGAAACTGCTAGCTGCCACATTCTAAATAGGAAGTTAGCATGAACGTGCTTCTGGCTCCATAAATTTTGGCTCCAATTCACTTTCTACTGAAAAAACATCGCCCCTCCCACTGTAACTGCTGCTGTCAGTCTTGTCATTTTGGTCTTAAAATGTTTGTATTGACCTGTTTTTATTCCCCTATTATGTCAAGATATCAAGATCCATCCATTTTCTTCAGCTTATCCGGGGCCGGGTCTCGGGGGCAGCAGTCTAAGCAGAGACTCCCAGACTTCCTTCACCCTGGACACTTCCTCCAGCTCCTCCGGGGGGACCATGAGGTGTCCTCAGGCCAGCTGAGAGACATAGTCCCTCTAGTGTGTTCTGGGTCTTTTTCGGGAGGCGCCTAGGAGGCATCCGGAACAGATGCCCTCCCCTCAGCTGCTCCTCTCGACATGGAGGAGCAGCGGATCTACTCCGAGCTCCTCCCATGTGACTGAGCTCCTCACCCTATCTCTAAGGGAGCGCCCAGCCACCCTCAGAAGGAAACTCATTTCGAGCGCTTGTATCTGGGATCTCGTCCTTTCCGTCATTACCTAAAGTTCATGACCATAGGTGAGAGGAGGCACATAGATTGACTGTAAATCAAGAGCTTTGCCTTTCGACTCAGCTCCCTCTTCACCACAACGGTCCGATACAGTGACCGCATCACTGCTGCTAACCCTAAATCAAGATATGAACATTGACAACAGAGAAATCAGGTGCCCTTTTTCCTCGAGGACGTGCCCCCTAGTGTTAGCAACACGTGTTGATTGACAGCGTTGCTAAGCGTCTGCTCTCTGCTCAGGTGCAGGCGGGGAGGGGCGTTACCTTCAACAGCCTCGGTCCTGATTAGGTCTTTGGTTGCTATGATACACACACGGTTGTAATTCCAAACATGGAAGTTGGATCCAAATTGCCACTATTACTGCCACCCTAAATGAGCTTCATTTGACTGGAGCCAAACACTCTGGGACATGTCACACTCCCTTTCTCCACTTCTTTATACAGTCTATGGTTGTGACTAGTCTGCTGTGTCATTCCACTGTAACTGATTCAGACAACCAATCCTGTTTTGGTATGAAGAATAAATACTGTAATGAACCCAAATTATGTTTTATTTATTTCAAAAAGGAACAGACATGGCTGGTCAGCAGAGGTGGGGAGCGTAGCCAAAGATTGTACTTACTAAGAGTAACGTTACTTCTAAATAATATTACTCAAGTAGAAGTACAAAGCAGTGGTCCAAGAAATGACTCAAATAAGACTAAAAATATTTGGGAAAACTACTACTTTAAGTTCATGTAATCTGAAGGATAGAAGAAAATCATGCACAAAATCTGGTCTTTTCAAAGTACAGACACAAAAATTAGACAAAAAAAACAAAATCATAGCTGAAGGAGCAGTGCAAGAAACACACATGTTTAAATACTTTCATATTGTCACATAAAGCTTTTGTTTCTTGTTGACTTACTCACAGTGGGAAGAGCAGCTTTTACTCAAGTGAGAGTACTGTTACTTTCATAAAAATATTACTCAAGTAAGAGTAAAAGTATGCTGCAAGATGAGTATTTCCTCTGCTGATACACTTAAATTGAGTGGGATTATTTGGAAGGTATAGTAGGCAAATTGAAGTACAGTATCAATAAAACACCTGTCAGAGTTCTAACATCTCCACAGAAACAACCATGTGACAGAACTCCCCACCAGGAAAGTTACATAGTGCACCTTTAAAGAAGATTTAATAAAACCTGCCTAAGTGCCTAAGGAAGGAACTTGTGGTATTTTTTTTCCTCACAAAAATCCTACCAATAGACATTATAGAGAAGTGCTACTAATACTGGTTGTTTTGTGTCTTTTCAACAACACTGTCATTTCACTAGTTTACCGTTTTTTTTTCAATTTCTTCTCTATTGAATATCATAAACAGGGTTATAGTTACCCAAAACAACATTCCATCTCAGCAAAATGCAGTTTACCTCTCAAAACCACATCACCATCAAAACTCACAGACTTTGGTCATGTGTTTTCTGTGCTCTTTGATTCTTTTGACAGAGCAGCTCAGAAGCTTTAATCCTGCTCTCAGTGATCACAGAGTTGCACTGGTTTTGTGCAGTCTCACACTGGTGATCACACTGTACTATGCACTGAGACTGGAAGAGCTGTTTTTTCTAAAACCTGTCTGTATTATATAAAATATATACCATTTGAAAACGAATGTGCGCATTACCAATCTCACACTAGACTGTGTAGCATGTGATCACAGATGGTCTATTTCTGCTGGAAAAAACTCAAAGACATTGTAGTAGCAAATACATCAACACTACTTGTAATATGTCAAGTGTTCTTAAATATCAGACAAGACATCTACACCAACATCACAGTGGATATATGGCCTTTATATCTGTATGTATGATGTCTCTGCTCATACAGTGTGCACTCTCTGCTGAGACCCTTCTCCCTGTTTGACTTAAGTGTCAAATCCTTTCTTGTCAGATTTCAGATGCTCGCAAATTGTTCTTTTTGGGCTGTTATGTTTAAGACCTGTAGGATTTCAAAAACAAGTTCAATTCATTAATCATGTGTGTTTCTGAAAGAGAGCTGTGTCAAGGGTGATGAATGATTTGATCACCTGTGCCCCTGTTCAGATATATGTTTGAACCAAATAATCAAACTAAACTAAGTTTCAAAAAATGCCATTGAAATTTTCCATGAAATGAGACATTTTTGGCCCTCCATAACCTGGCTCTAGTAGGCTCTTGCTCTCACCGGGGCTCTGAGCGATGCCTGGCTCACTGCTGTCGGGCCCGGGCAGAGGGACCCTGCGCGTGGGCGTCGGTGGATCGGCCTGGCCCCTCCTCACCGCCGACGGTTTAGGCGAGACAGGTGGTTTAAGGGACTTCCGCGCCTCCATCCACTCACATGTCTCCGTCTCCGCCCTCTCAGGGGCATCTGACGCTGGCCTCCTCCTCAGGACCACCCCTCCGTTCTGCTCTATGTGTTTATTGCTTGTGTTGGCAGTTGTCATGGTAACTACTGTGGTGGTGGCCGTGACTGGTGCGTCAGAGGGCTTGGGTCTCCTCCTGAGCGTGGCTGTCCCGTCGGTGATCTCTGCGGAGGAGGACGAGAGGACGGTGGAGCGTGGGCGGGGCTCCGGGCGCTGCTGCTGCTGCTGTTGCTGAGGCGGTTGCCGTGGAGACTGGTTGCCCAGGTCACTAGGGAGGTCGTCGGTCCCGCTGATGGTTCTGCGGCGGCTCAGCACATCGTCTTCTCCAGAGCCCAGACCTCCTGCACCGGGCTGACGTCGCAGCAGGGGTGGGCTCACCTACGGAACATACTCACATTATAACATTCAATAAGCCCAGCAAAAAAAAAAAATTATATACACTACCAGTCATACGTTTGGACACACCCTCTCCTTTATTATTATTTTTCTTTATGTTTAATACGTTTTGTAGAAATATGGTAAGACATCAAATATATGAAACACCAGTCACAGGTTAGGACACACTTTATCATGTCTGTGTCTTCTCCATTTACATTGTAGATTCTTACTGGAGGCATCAAAATGTACTCCAAATTACTCAAAACTTTGAACCCTGGTTTGCAGTTTTGGCGTTTCTTGACACTGACCAGGCACAGCTGTAAGTGAAAACCATTTCAGGAGACTTCAACAGATAGAAAGACAGATACTTTAATTATCCTGAAGAAAATTTGTCATGAAAATAACTAAGAGAAGGCCAAGGGTTTACAGCACTGTCAACAAAGCAAAGGGTCAATACTCTGAGGATCTGAACTATAATAAACTAGAGCTATAGATGAATCCAAGATGGTGCTGTATCATTTTCAGTGGCCTGTGCTCAATGGCGCATGGGCCCAAAAAATATTTTCACTTCCAACATTTACTTCCTCAATAGGGCATGGAGTGTTTGGACCAATCAGAGTGAAAGTTGCTAGAGCAGAGCGAGTGTGGGCTCAGAGCGGAGCAGGCTAAGTCTTACAAAGTCAACTTTTAGATGCTTGGAGGATTTTAAAAAAACTGAAAGTTTCTGTTGTGAAAATAGAAAAGAAAATCCCTACAAAAAAGTCTGATTTCACAAAAAAATGCATTGTGCCTCTATGGGAGAATTCTTTCTGGGCCCAAACTCCCTGGAGCTGCAGTACCTGGAACGGTCACGAGTCTGTCTCGAGCTGGAACAGAGGGAGAGTGCCTTATCTAGTTTTTATTATAGATCCCTGATTTGAACATAAAATTAAAAATAATATTCAGTTTGTAACTTTTTTCGTATATCTCAGTTCATATAGTTGATATCTTCCATATGTATGTATATATAATGTAGAAAGTAGTTAGTAGGAGGTGACAGTTAGGGTTAGGAGGAGAGGTTAGAGTTGGATTAGTTTTAGGCACACTTTGCCCAAAATGTTGAAACTTTTAAAAAATGCCCCCATTTCTGTAGCATATTGCCGCTTGCGACTATATTTAATATATTCTTGTTCCTTAGGTCTTGTTTAATTACGTGCATAAGTATATAATCGCTTTAGTCTTTAATTATTCCTGAATTAGTCTTTATTTAGTACTTGTCATCTAGAGCTCTGAAAAATGCTTGTAGGACTCAGTTGTTGAAGAAAAATTCATTTTAAATATAAGCTTTTCTTTTCTTTTCTTTTGGTTTTCAATCCCAGAAGCAATCTTAGTCTTAGTTCACTAGGGAAAAAATATACACATTTTACAAGGAAAATAGCTTTGGCCCAACCCAAAGACAAAGTTTTTCACTCTTGGCCGCTCTTATAAAGCCGCCCAATTCCACTGAAAAACCACAGACCTGGCAACTCATCTTATAAACTATGAGTAGGTCAGCGTTTGTTGGGCGCACCCCGTCACGAGCTTGGACGCTCCTCGTATGAGTTTCAATCCACAGTGTCAGTTTGGGAATAATTTGGAACATCTTAAAACCATGTAAGCCGTAAATTGTCGCAGGTGAGGAGACTACATAAAAAACACTAAATGTCATGAGTTAGATTTGTGATTTGTATATGATGGAACACTGGAAATGACAATCCATATTGGTTGGTCAATAGAGGTATTGGCCGACAGATGTGTCAGTACATCAGATTTGTCTTTTTAAACAAACAAGTGAATAAAATAACATGTAACTCTTTATTTTTAAAAGCTGATGTAGCGGGTGGTGCCACAGGGTGTCGCTGCTGGGCCACAGCCAGGCGGAATTTAAGGGGAAGTTGGCTGTGTGCCCGGGAGGTGTCAGTTTCCGTGGGTGGCCAGGTAGACCGCTGGACCCACGTGTGCGTGCGTTTGGCTGAAGATACTGGGCGGCCATGCTGTTTTTAAAAGAAACTTGAGCGGTGCTACGGGGAAGCTGTGTGTGGATTTACGACACAGTTGGCTATTGTCCCTGCTGTCCTGTAGTTCTTTGTTTTTTTCCGGTCACTTCCTTTTTTTTTGGCACGGCTCCGAATCCTGTCAACGACGCCAATTGTTATAGCCGTGGTAATGAAGGTCCGGAGCCAGGGATGCAGGTTATTTATTTAATATAAATGGACAAGCTCGAGTGCCTTGTGGCACCACCCGCTACACTGAGATGGTCACTAATCTCACATATCCTCCAAATGACCGTGGAGCTCTGATAGGAAACGCACGTCCTCTCAAGTCCAAGGAGCCTACAGTTGCAGTCAAGCAGGAATATCAGTCACCAGAGTCCGCAGATGACATTTAGAGATGACTCCAACTGTGCTACATCTGGCCCAAATAATCTCCATGGCAACATCACATCAGGTGAGGTCGCACATGCAGAGATGAAATTGGCTCCATTGGTAGAGCTTCCTTTAGCTAAGGTGACCAGATGTCCCCATTTACCCGGGACAATCCCAGTTTTGACCCCGGCGTCTCCTGTCCCTGCAGATTTATCCAAAACCAGTGATTTGTCCCAGTTTTATACCAGAAATGTCTCAGGTGTCCATATTTTTGATCAATCTGATACTTGCCAACAGTAAAAAGACATATATTGTGATTTGTTTAGGTAAAATACAAAAAAAAACTGCTTAAAAATGATCAAAACACAAGTGGAAATGAATGTGACTTTGGATGATGATACCTGGGAGAGTGTTTGTTCTGGCTGTCACAGAGGGGTTAGAAGTCAAATTTGGAAGGAGTATGACTGGAAGCTCAAATTAAGATTTTTTAGAACCCCGCTGAAAACTTTTATTTCGAAATGTAGTCTTAGTGACAAATGTTGGAGGAATTGTGGACTTGTGGGCGACCTGACTCACATATTTTGGGACTGCCCACATATAAAACGTTTCTGGATTGATGTTAAAGATGTTCTACAAAATATATTGGTTGATGGACCCAAAGATCTTTTTACTTGATACATTTCCTGATGGTCTCTCTCATAATCAGTGCTTTCTGCTGCATCTTTTTCTGATGACTGCAAGGACAATGATAACGATCTACTGGAACTGAAACCTGAAACACCGACCATTGAACAGTGGATATCAAAAAATTAGACAAGTTTATACAATGGAACTGTTAACGGCTCAAGTACAGCCAGATTTTGAAAAGAAGTGGGGCCCAATTATTGACTTTCAAATAAGACACTTATGCCCTAACATGCCAAATTTTCATTTTTCATTTATTTTTTTCTCTTTTCTTGTTCTAGAAGGGGGAGGAGGGGAAAAAGAAGTAAATATATAAATTGTGTGAAGACCTGGTCTCAGGACACTGTTTATGTCAATTGATTTGTGGCAATAAAGTTAAAAAAAAATCAAATAAATTGACCGAAACACAAAGAAAATGTGACTATACTGACTCACATTAGTGCCAAGTGCGTAACAAATTTCCTTAATGACGTACTTGAGTCACAATTTTATTAATACCAACCATCACAAACCAGGGATGTCCCAGTTTTTCATTTTGGAAATCTGGTCACCCTACTTCTAGTTCCTCTGAAACCAGAAGAGGCAAGCGATGCTCAACATCAGAACGTGGAGGAACCTTCAGAGTTATAAGCGAAACCAGAAACTCTCATGTGTAATGCTGAGAAGTCCCTCCACCAATTAGTACGCCACTGCCACCTCAAATCAAAGAGGACAACTCAAAACAGACAAAAGAAAAAAAGAAGACATCTAAAAAAAGTGTCTAAAGTTGAGATGGTCACTTATATCATAGATCGTCCAAACGGCCGTGACCTAATTGACAACAGAGATACTCAAGAGACCAAGGAACCTATAGTTGTAATCAAAGAGGAACCTCCATCAGTCCACAGAGTCCACAGATGAAGTTCTAGATGATTCTAGTGTTAGCCCTGCCCAAAATGTCCTGACCAATCCAACCAAAGCTGGTGGGAAAAAGCAAAGAAAAGCAAAAAGGCAAAGCAGGAAAAAGAAGACCTCTGAAAAACTTAACGTAGAAACTGGCAACACACAAACAGTTAGAGCTCAACCATCAACATCGCAAAATAAGAGTGCAAAACCGGCAAAGAAGACAGCAGTTACACCCAAAGCCAAAGAACCAGTGATGGGGAGATGGAAGAGGCAGGATCATTTTAAACTACCCCAACGTTTGAGGAATGTTGAGGAACCTGAGGAGAAGCACATTACAGAGACCCGTATTTTCAAGGGATTTTCAAAGCTTCCTCCCGAGCTGATGAAAAGTGATGGTGATGTTGATGGAAGAAGAATGAATCTCTGGTGTACATGTTTAAATACTGAAGCCTGTCATGACACCACTGTATCAGTTCCAGCAAAAGACAGAAAAGACCTGCAAAGACACATCCCCCTCACCAAATGATCAAAAACCACATTTATTAACAGATTATTTTTTCACACCAAAGCTGAAGTTAGCTTGAACTTACCAAACTACTACCAGTAAACACAATTTAATAGGAGGAGTTCAGTTTGTAAACCACTAGTTCAGAAACAAAAAAATGTAATGTTAGAATAAATTATTGGACCAAATCAGCCTCACTGGATCAAAACAACCATTGACTTAACAGCAAGACGATGTTCAACCAACAACAGTCAAAGATCTTCAGGATTCTGAGTCTTAAGGGACTGAAAGCTCTGGAGATGGACGTGCAGATGTCAGGAGATGAAAACCAACGTCATGACAATGAATGTCAAATAAACATTTAATTAAAAAATAACTGTTCTGGTTGTTTTTATTTTTCAACCTGAGTTGGTATGAGTTTTCAGGTCCGAGCACCAGAAGCTGTTTGGCAGTGGGTGTAATGTAAAGAGGGAAACTGAGGGTGCGACACCTTCGGGCTGTGGCACCTCGTAGTCATGGGGAGGGCCGATCATTGCCACCTGCAGTTATATATAAATATTCAGAGTTTATTTTTTTTTATTTACTACATTCCACATGTGTGAATCATAGTTTTCAAGCCTTCAATGAGAATCTACAGCATAAATAATCATGGAAATAAAGAAGAATCATAAAGTGTGTCCAGACTTTTGGTAGTGTTTTAAGGCTCATTTATGCTCTGTGTTCCAGATGCATATATGTACGCATACAGACTCCTGTCCGTCCTCTGCATTGTTTTGTGTGTTATTTTCCTCCTCAGAACATGTGGAATCTCAGCACTGGAGCAGTACATGAGCTGACCACTGGGGCAGTAGTAACACAGCTTGATAGTGGAAGATAAACTTTATTATTATTATTATTATTATTATTACTAGAACCAGCTACAAATCAAATTAATGCTTATCTCACTTAATTTTTCTTGTCTCTTTCACTATTTTGTCTATTTTAATCAATTCTCAAACTGACTTTTAGCGCCCTCTGGTTGTTGTTTGAGAAAGCAGCTTTGACATTAGAAACTTTTGGAACATTAAATGCAGTGACAGTTACTACGTTTAGAACCCACTGAACTGTTTACATAGAAAAGTGGAGCATAAATTTGCCTTTAAAGAGCCTGTGCCCCAGATATTACAGATATATGCGCAGCTCTTGAGGTCAACATAAGTCAGCTGTGTACTGTTTGCATTTATTGTCAGAGAATCAGGCAGTGCACATTTCATCTACTTGTTGTTTTTAGCATTTATGTGAAGGTAAAACTCCACTCTGGCCTCTGAAAGTTGTGAAAAGTGTTTTTTCTAAATCTTTGGCATATCATGTTCTCACAACCTTACATCCATTTTCAAGTCTTCTCTCTCACATCAAAACACTTTTTGCAGAACTTAAAACACATCAACTATTTAAATGCAGATTGGTAACACTCTCTGTTTTCCTTAAATACTCCACTCTCTTACCAAAGTCCACAGATGGAAGACACAAACTGAACACACAAATTACAATATGAAGAGATTTTATCAACAGACGCAGAAGCACTGTGAAAGACTTCTGTAGTGAAAGCCTGTGTGTAAAAGTGTGGGAGATTCTCTGCTCAGTGTCTGGATGATGGTTCTATAACTTTACAAATCTGAGGACTGTGTTTATATTTGAACTACAAAGTGTCCTTTTTACACAAGTGTTTCATGGTTTGTTCACAAAGTTCTAATGCGTTTTTGTGTCTTGTGTGACTAGTTTTGCAAAGTGCATAAACGATTGGCCGGATTTATGAAAAGTTTCAGAAAAAGCAATTGAAAAAAACTGTAAAAACTCATTGCTGTGAATAATGAGGAAGCTCAGAATGCATAAGGTAAGTAAGGAAGAAGTCTGAATCACTCCAGACCATTTAAAATGAATTGGGTCTGTTTTTCACATTTTTAAGACAGGTAAAAATGAGTCATTGAAAAATGAGTGGTGAGTTTACAAGAACTTTCCTTAACTCCCAGTGACCAGTGCAGAATTTTGCCTTGGGATGCTGACTTCCTGATTATCGGATAATAACATACTTGCAGACACACACAGCTGACTTATTTTGACCTCCAGAGTTGCTTATGCTCAAATACATGGAGAAAAATCAGGTTCAAAGCCTTTAATTAGTTGCAAAATGCCAAACCCTTCCAAAAGACCAAAGTGGTTCTAGGCTGTACTTACACTAATAAAGCTTTTAAAAGTAAGGAAAGTAAGCAATCAAGCTATGACCCACCGGAAGATAAGTTGCGTTACTGCCCATATTCCTGGGCAGAGTCATGGCTCCTCCCACCATGGAGGTCTCCAACATGGCAGCCAGGCTGCGCACACTCCCTGATGCCCCGTCGGAGCGCTCCAGACCTGCAGACTGAGCCCTAAGAGCTGCTCCCAGGACTCCACAGTCACTGGCCCGCCTCTCCCTATAGGCCGGCAGCCCTAGAAGGCCCTCGCCCTGACCCTCTCCTGGCCCCTCGCCCCCCTCCTCTGCCCCCGTCATGGAAGAACAGGACCTTTTGGGCGGCGTGGGGGGCCGGCCTTTGCGGCGTGGCCGGAGCGTGACTGATGATTGGCTGCGGTTGACAGTGACATCATTAGTAGTGGCGTGTGAAGAGGTGCTGCGACACACGGTGGCATATTTAGAGTCTGTCTCTGGTCCGCTCAGACTGTGCGCCCTTCTTCTCTCCTCTTCCTCAAAGGGCACCTGCAGCAGGGGCAGATGGGAGTCCAGAGCGGGGCTTTGGGTGGAGGGCCGTGGCCTGGCTCTGGGGGATACCTGTGCTCTGCTGTGAGGGGGTGTCTGAGGAGGAGTGTGGGTGGGAGTGAGGGGAGGGGTCTGTGAGGCTGTGAGCCCTGGGCGAGGTTTGGCCAGAGGGCAAGGGGCTCCCTCCCTCTGCTTCCTGGCCTGGGTGGTGGCCTGGGTGGTGGCCTGGGTGGTGGCCTGGGTGGTAGCCTGGGTGGTAGCCTGGGTGCTGTCCTGGGTGGTGTCCTGGGTGCTGTCCTGGGTGCTGACCTCTGTGCCGGTCTCAGTGCTGGCTCCCGGGCTGGATGGGGGGGTGGAGAGGCTCTGAGGGAGCTCAGAGCTGACCTCTCCTCTTTGAAGCTGCTTCAGTCTCTTCACACCCAGCATTAGCTTCTTCTGATGGCCTGTTCACAAGCAGAGCCCAGTGAAAATGAAGACAATAACATGTCGAAATAATGCACAAGGAGAGATTAGTCACTGAGTCAAAGTCATGGAAATACATTCAGTTAGGGCTATTGTATTTAAAACAGGCCCATAATATATCAATGCACTGTTTTGTGGACTAGGGATGGGCCATATGTCAGTTCTGATATATTCAACTATATCGTAACAGCTGATACCGATACAGAAGCACTGATATAATATCCGATACCAATCTTTTGGAATGAGAGACTAATGAGTCAAAATGGAAAGTTTTATATTGCTGTATGTATACAGTAACATATAAAAAATATTTTACATCTCATATATTTGTGTAATCCTCAGTCATGCAGGTTGAATCCATAACAAAGGAGAAATTCATTTCTGTCAGCTGGACAGATGAAGATGCAGCTTGGATGAGCTGTGAAAAGTCAAATCAAAAACTTTTGTCCAGTTGACAGAAGTGAACTTCTCCTTTGCTATATATCTCAAATAAATACAAAGTGTTACTATTTTTACAGATGTGGAAACTTAATTAATGATCTTTATCTCAACTTAAGATATGTTTGTGGGCACTGGATTTTAAAAGCTAAATATTGTTTTTGACAAATACTGATTATTGTCCATGACAGCAGGTCAAATATTGGATATTGGTATACTCTTAAAAATCCATAATGATCCATCTCTATTGTGGACGGTAGAGTCGTGAAACCTAACCCAGGATATCTTTAATAAAATGACAGTAATAACTGGGTCTGATTATGCCTTACCTAACTTTGTAATGCCAATCTCCTGCAGATCCTCCAGGCTGATGTCAGACACAAACTCAATATTTTCATATCCGTTCTGGACCAGGACCTGGTAGTACTGGTTCAGCCCCAAGTGAGACAGCCAGTCTGCCAGGTTGGCCTGAGCACAGGGACACAGGAGGGGAGTCTTTAGACTAAATAAGACCACACTGGACACATTCTTGTATCTTCATGGTAAAGTACAACTACTTATGTAAAGTGAGACCTGCAGGCTGCTCACCGGTTTGTGATGAGGGAGCCAGTCTGTGGAGGCTATCCTGCTGATCTCAGATATTAACTTCTTTCGATGGCCAGGCTTCATGACCCCGATAGCAGTGAGGTCCTTCAAACACACAGCAGTTATGTCAAGAATCAACACATTTTCACTGGAGATACCACAGAATACAGTAGTAGATACAGTAGTAAGGCTATGCACTACCTTGAGTCTAACCATATCATGTTATCTATGTCACGATTTAATATATCATGATACATCCCGATACTAAACAATGGATGATGTCAAGTCAAAAAGCCCAGCCCCTGCACCAAGTCTTCACCTCCACTCCTGAGCCCTGTCTCCTCTCACCTCTGCTCCCTCCTCTTCCTCTTCGCCGCTCCTCCCCTCTCCTCCCCTCCCCTTTTTATTAGTTGATGAGGTTATTTTTAGTCTGGCCAGTAGATGGCAGCAAGACCAAAAAATCTGGTAACCAGGTAACCAGGTGTGTCTCTGGAATCATTTAATTAGGCCCAGGTGTGCACAAACAAATCAAACCAAACGAAGGAATGTGAGGGGAAACACAGAGACACTGGTGAGGAAATTTACCTTTAAAATTAGTTTTAAGTGTAAAGGAAATAGTAAATAAATTCAATTTAAGTTTGAAAATGCCAAAATAGAGCTAAGTTGAATAACTAAATTGTTTATTTATAAAGTAGTAAATCTGATTTAAAGAAAATGATGTAAATTCTAAGTTAAAGTAGCTATAGTTAAAAAAAAAAAAAAAAAAAAAAAAAAAGTTGTTGATTGGAATGAGAGTAACGGGTCATGACTCTACCTCAGGGGTCATGCAGCCGATGGTCTCTAGATCATATCCTGCCGTGAGAAAGTGTGTGGTGTAGAACTGGAGCTGGAATTCCCCCAGCCATGACACTACAGCTTGTTTCTAAAAATACAAGACCGAACACTTGAGTCTGCTGCTAAACACAACACAGCTGTGAAAAAAACCCAGGCACAACTCACTTTCCCATCATCCTCCTCTGCCTTCTTTTCAAAAGAGCGCTGTTCGTGAATTGTGTGGCTAGAAGTACCTTTGAAATAAGAAAAGATCTCAAATATGAACACACATGAACACATATTTCATTTCAACTTAAATGCTGATTTATAGAATGCATTTGCAACGCTGCCAGGTTCCAGTGCAATCTGTTATGTTCTATATGCAGCATTATCCATCTGTGCTCTTTTGTTTTAAACCTGTCTATAGAGCCAAGTGAGTCATGAGGCTGTATGTGAGAGTGGGAAGTGGGATGCTCTGCCAGCTGCACTTGACCAATATGGTGACACTTTGACTATTACACTGCACACAGCTCTCACATCACTAAATATGAACTAAAAGCATGGTTTTGGACAGTTGGCGCATTTGACAGCACAGTTCCTTGATATGGCTTGAATACAGGAGTTATATAGAGGCAATAACTTGAAGGTGTGAGGTGTGTATTTACCAGCTGACTGCTCCACAGACTGGGACTGCTCCAGGAGATGCTCCTTAGCTTTGACTGACTGGGCCAACACTGTGGCCAGAAGCTGGAACACACACAAATGCACATGACTCACTGACTTTCATTTATTTCCTAGAGACTGATTCTGACATTAATCAGCCTTGTTACAATGTTGTTTCCTCATCAAAAACATCTGGAATTGATGTTTTATTCACACATGTTTGAGTAATCCTATATTAGTTTGCAGTGTTGGGGAGTAACAGATTACATGTACCGGAGTTACTCATAATTTGTACTCTGATTATGTAACTGTATTCGGTTACAGTTACTGTTTTAATGAGTGGTAATTGGATTACAGTTTGTTGAAATAAATGGATTACATGGCGGTATTTTCCTGTTTTCACATTTGGGGCTATATCCCTTTTTTTTTTTTCGGTAAATCCACTCATTGCCGGACACTAAACCAGGCCTAAACCAGGTCTTAACTAGGTCTAAACCAAGACTAAACTAGGACCAAACCGGGATTAACCAGAACTAAAACCAGGTCTAAACCAGGACTAAAACCAGGTCTAAACCAGGACTAAACCAGGACTAAAACCAGGTCTAAAACAGGTGTAAAACAGGATTTAACAGGACTAAATCAAGCTGCTTGGACGTGTCTCCTCCTCTTCTATCAATAATATTTTTAATACGTTTTAGTAAAGTCTGGGCTTTTTATTTTCTTTTAGCAGACAAAACTTCTTATGTTACGATATCCTCGTCTTTGCTTCTCTACAGCAAATCAAGTAATCCAAAGTATTCAGATTACATTATTCACCTTAAGTAATTTAATGGATTCTGTTACAAACTACATTTTGGGCTATTTAATCTGTAATCTGTAGGAGAATACATTTTAAAAGTCACCTTCCCAACACTGTTAGCTTGTCTAGTAAGATACCCTTTACCTTTAGTTGAGTAGAGATTGGCAGTTTCAGGGCAGAAATCATCCAAATGGGTCAGGAATGAAAGTGTCTGGAGTTTAAAATCTTGCATTACCACATGACCTCACAAGGTAGAACAGAGTATTTTCTGTTTGAGAGAAGAGCTCAGCCTAAATATGCAGGATTTGTGTGTTAAACTTGTGTGAATGAAACAAAACACAACTCCAAGTCTGTTTTTGATGAGGAAAATATATGATATATTATAACATAGAGTCCAAGAGTAATATGGGTTCTTTAAAGCTCACAGGAGTCCATTTTGGTAATATAGGACGTTTAAATATATGGTAGATTCGTCATGGGGGCTGTGTGGCTCACTGCACTCACTCGACTCATCAGATCAGATGCATTATGGCTCATTAAAGTCGACCGCAGCTTGTTCTATTGCAAGATTAAAGTCACATCAGAGCAAATCAGCATCAAAGCAACGAAGCATAAACAACATTAGGTTTGCATTGGAATTTCTCTTCGCTTATTACATCATTGTTAGAGTTTATTTATAACTTAGGAAGTCTTTAATAATAATGACCAGTTATCCCCAAGGCATCAAATAAAGACATAAAGAAGTTGAAGGATTCTATGGGGTATTAATAATATATTTAGATCACCATGTTACCTTTTATTGTTTTCAAAATGCACGTTATCAGCTGGACATTTTTGTATTATTATTATTATCATATTATATATAACATGGTAGAACGCTCCAAAAAAGTAATTTTTTCTTGAAAGCAGAGTAAGAAAAAAGTCAAAACTAAAATAATTTAATCACATAATTTCAGACTATGCTGTGGTAAATATGTGATAAATAAAGGTAAACTTGGAAAAATTATATTAACCAGGATTGTAAGGTCTTGTAAAGAGAGATTTTTATTTACAGTAAGGAAAGGCAACTCTTTATCCGTAAGTAAAAGTGAAACCACATGATGACACTGAACCAAATCCTGCCATTCATCACAGTTGAGTCAGAAAAGCTTTTTAGAACTAGAAGAGGTTTAAGACATCATCCATGCATGATTGAGTAATTGAGCAATCTCTCAGCCCCTATTCAAACCCTCCTTATGGTTAGCTGTAAGATTCTATGCACTTCTCATCCGTGCTCCCACAATTCTCCATAAATATATAACGGAAGTGCAGCAGATTATTTAAAATCAAAGTAGTGTATTTTTCAGACTATAAGTCACACTTTTTTTCATGGTTTGGGTGGTACTGCGACTTATACTCCGGTGTGACTTATATATACATTTTTACACTGACAGCCACAAGAGGGCGTTCTAGTCTTGTGTCAGTATCTTCTGCTCCTATTACTCCTATAGCACTGTCACTTCACTCTACTGCACATGTCTCCTTCAGAAAGAGCCTCTGTTCTGTCTGTATCATGTCAGTCGATCACAACACTACTTCTGTACCACTGAAAATTTAACATTTAAACAAACTTATTAAGACAACTGAGAAGACTGAACAGAAATGTCCCCAAAAACAAAAATCATATTTTGCTGATTACAAACTGCAAGTAGCAAAATGTGCAGCTGAGTGAGCGAGAAACTTGTGTCACCAGGAGGATGCAACATCCAACTTTCCTGGAAGTCACTGGACAAAACCTGGACTTCAATAACAAACCATCCTGTCGGGATTCAGAAAGCCTGGAATAATTCTAACTGGAACTGATGCTGAGTCTGACGACAGCTACACAGAAGAGGAAGCGACGCTCTGTTTACCTCGGAGGTCGAGGCCGAGTTGTTCAGAAGTGACACAGATGGAGAGTTTGGTAAACTTGTTCTGTTCTGTTGTTTATGTTATAGTTTATCTGAAGAACTGTTCATATGTGACAATAACAGTCTGTTGTTCTCCCTTCTATTGTTATTACTAGAACTTGACTTTACACAGGAAATGTTGGGTCCTGGTCTCTGATTTTATAAAATACATTTGATAAATTTTTTTTTTTTTTTTCTTTTTCATTATGCCTTTTTTGGCTGGTATGAATTATACTCTGGAGCGAATTATAGTTCGAAAAATATGGTAGTATTTTTAGGAAATTCTAAACACATTTTGTACATTTGATTTTAAACTTAATAGCTTGTTCTGTAGCTGTAGTTTTTTAAAGAAATTGTGCTTTTCAGACTACTTTTCCAGCATCACTTTCCTGCTTCTCTTTTTATGGTAACTGTACTCTTACTTGAGTAAAAAAAAGTATTGTTTACTCTTCCCACTGTGAGTAAGTCTACAAGTGACAAAAGCTTTATGTTCACTACAATCATACTTGTCTCTACTGAACAAAAAATAAAAGGTGAAAACTGCTCTGTTCCAGTGTGATGTGGTGTCCACGTGACATCACAAAGTGGAACAGAGCATTTAGAGCTTTGGAACAAAACACAACTCTAGGTTAAAAGCTAACAATAGTAAATGTGCATAATATAGGATCTTTAATTTACAACTGTATGAAGTAAACCAAATGTGCAGCCCCAGGAATGGAACCCAGGACCTTCTTGCTGTGTCATGCCCAGTCTAGTAGTAGTAGTTCTAATAAGAGTTGTGGTCACCTTGACCCCCTCGGACTGGGCGTGCAGTCCCGGGGCGTTGAGTCCGTGGGGGTTGACTCCGGGGGTGGGGGCTGGGTGGGGGCTGGGTGCTGGGGTGGTCAGGACGTGGGTGTTCCCTGAGCCGGACAGACTGCTGGAGGAGCGCCCACTGCCCAGACTGCCCACACTGCCGCTGCGGTCACCTCCTGTGCAAGGGACAGGAGATTACAGTGAAGTGGAGCAGCAAGTATTTAGCATCAAGATGAAGAAATAACTATTCATTAAAAAAAAACAAAAAAACATTTACATCTGTGTCAAAGCAACTCAGCATAAAGAACATTAGGTTTGCACTGGAATTTCTTTAGGCTTATTATCATCATAGTTAGATTATATTTACAACTTTGGAAGTGTTAATAAAGAATATAACTAAATAATAATGATACAAGAGTAGTTATCCTCAAGGCATCAAATAAAGACAAGTTCTCAATGTATAGAAGTAATGATACAATATAAGGGTAGAGGAGATGTCAGTAAGGTGAAGCAACAAGTCTTAAGTGCAGAGATGAAGAACTAACTATTCATTTTATAAAATCATTTACCCTATGAATCGATAAGTAGGGTTAACACTGATATTGGAAGGTTTTTCTAGATATCAATTTGATTTGAAAATTTGGCTTATATTAGTGGCTTTTTTTTTTCTTTTCTGCATTGCCCCAATTTATGTTATTTATTAGTCTGGCAGTATGTCTACACAATCATGGAACAGATGAATTTAATCCCAGAAAAATACATTTTGTCATGATTTTTACAAAAGTGAAAACTTCATTTGTGAATTTAACAGCAATTATTTAATTATATGGTCTTTGTTATTATTGGATTAAAAAATAAATAAATAAATAAATATATATATATATATATATATATATATATATATATATACATATACATATAGGCTGATTTTGTCCTAGAACATCTCATAATGTTTGAACTTTTGTTCATATAAAGTTATTCAGTCATTTGAAGGGTAAATAACACTTGCATAACATAATCAGATCTCTTGTGTAATAAGTTAACTGTGTTTTAAGGAAACAACTGCCATTTCCTAACCCTACATAGGTATTGGGTATCGACAGTAAGTATCGATATCTGTACTGTAACTGTAAAAGATGGATTGGTCATCCCTACTAAAATTATATATTCTTTTTTTAAATTTATTTTATTTGTTTTTACAAATGTATGATGGTCTGAATGAACATGATTAACCAAATCATCTTTACTAACTGCAAACTGCAATACTTTACTGCAATATTGATCTAACACAACTTTTATACCAGGGAGGATTCACTTCCTGTCATTGCAGAATTGGCTCTGTGTTACTGAACACGCTTTCATTGTGGCAGTTTTGAAGTGTTCCTTCCTCTTCCCGTACCTTGTAATGGTTTGCGTAACACCCAGATGTCCTCACAGGTGCTGCTCTGCTGGCCCAGTGTGGGCGAGCCCTGAGGACTGGCATCCGCTGTCCGGGAACCTGACACACATACACATACACATCATGTTTGTACTGGTGACACTTCAAGGACAGTTTCAGCTCTAGGATAATCATGATGATTGAATTCTTAAGTGCTAAATTCTACATATTACAGATATTATAGAAGAATATATATCTGGCTCTGCCAAAAATTACGATCTCAACTTTGGTTGATCTTAATGATAAAGCATCATTTTAATCAACAGGTCCACAGACAATCATGTGGCAGTAAGAACGCGTGGTGCTGAAGAGGCGTCACCGCTCTATTCTGTATGAAAAAGTTCCTTTGATGTCCTCACCTTTCTCAAATTTTTACTTAAATCTGCACAATTTGACTACAAGTCTCACGGGCGTGTCCTTCCCTCTGCCTCTGTGTGTGCGTCTGCCTCACCCCTACCCCCCATCCCCCTCTTTCCCTCCCTCTCTGGTCCATCTGCAGCTCCTCATCTTTTCTGCTCTTTCTCTCCTCTGGTACTTCTTATAGTTATAATCGAAGTTACGAAAGTAAACAACTATTTTCTCACCATTTTTGAGAGACACTTAGGACCTAATTTAACGCACACGCACACGTTCACATACTTCTGTTGATAGTGGTAGTGTGCATGCATGTGTGTGTTTCTGCCACTAAAGGTAATGCGTGTATAGCTTTTAGGTTTAACTGTACAAACTCATTCCAAACTTTAAATGTGTATTTCTCCGGAACTACTGGTCTATCAACACGAAATAAAAACTGTAGTGACCCCGACACTCTGCTCTTTATGCCTGAAGTCATATATCTATGTTTCATTAGATATAAGAAAAGTTAATCAAAAATTGAGATCGATCAATATGAGAAAAAAATGTATAAATCACTCAGCCCTAAGCAATAATTGTGCACAGTTAATTCTTAATTCCACGTGCGTCTGTAACACAGGTCATTACATTGACACTCTAGTAAATATTGTAGACTAGAGAACATTTAGAATTTAGAACACTATGCAGACAGAACACATTTAGAACACTAGAGAACGTTTAGAATCCTGTCTGTGGCCAACATGTGAGGAACTTATATAATGTATGAGTCTAAATGTAATTATATATGATGCTCCTCCACTGTATATTGATTTAATGAACCTTTATATCATTACATATCTGACATTGAATCAATAACATTATAGTGGTAATTACACGTAAAAACTGCTGAAATTTTAGTGAAATACACAATTGGAGTAAAAGGTTTTTTTTAGGCTAAGTAAATATGTGAATATAACTGTGAATATAACAAATTATCCTGATAAACTTGCATTAGTACATAGAAGAATATGACAACAGGGCTGGAGATGAACTTAAGCGTGCTCTGAATGCTGATAGATATTATGTATATTTACCAAATCAAATCAAAGCCACATTGACCAGTATTTGTTCCATAAATACTTACAAGTTTTATCCTCATAATTCACTCAGTGGAGGAAAAATATAGCAGAGGTGGGTGGCACTTAGTTACATTTATCTGAATAAGCTTTATGTGGACTATTTAAAATGATTTTGGTTTCTTGCTCCTCTCCTGCAGATATGATTTACTTTCTCTTTTGTGTCTCCTTTGAAAATACCAGATACTGTGCATTATTTAATATTTTGTCCTTCAAATTTCATTTCCTTTCAAATTATAAATCATCTGTTACATCCAGACAGTTAGACTTTAAGAACAATTTTCAGCTGGCAGTTGGTGATGGTGGCTTATAACTCCCTTAATGTGCAAATGACTGCAAAAAAGGCTAAATTTGTTCATTGACATCTTCCCTCTTCAAAATGACACTTGTTTTGGTTTTACCTGCAGTAAGTTGGACATGTCATTTTGACAGAAAAGAATAAACTGATGGGTGGGCACCTCGGGGTGGTTCGGTCAGTCAGCTCCAGGCATTCTGCTGCAGGTCCCTCCTTTTTCTAAACATTTCAGCGAGAGCCGTTCCAAATGGATAATGTGTAGAACTCAATTCAGAGTGATACACGTTAGCTCTACCCACCTCTGAAATATTCTGTTTCCAATAATAAATACTGTATATCAGCATTCTAGGACATTCAGTTATGTAAGAGTTGTAATATGATGACTGTAACTGTGAATACTGAAAATCCAACATGGAAAGATACCAGGTGATTTAAACTGGGTAACTTTACTGGTGGAGGCTATGACATCTGCTGTAATGTATGTAATGTTCCATGGTATGGCATTAAAGAGGGCGTATTACACTTTGCTTCTGTGGGGTATTCACTAATAACACATAACATATTTATATCACCATGTTACAAAAACAACTAATTAACATTTTAACAAGTTTCACTTTTGTTTCCCTTTGCTCTCTGCGTCACTCCCCCTTCAGAGCGCTATCACAACACAATAAGTGTTTTGTGTCATGTGTTTGTATATTGGTGGTTTATTGTTGTGTCTGACCATGGGGGAAGTAGGCTTGCGGACGGAACATTGCGCAGAATCTAACAACTAACGGTAAGGAGGGTTTGAACAATGAGGTTGCTACATCACTCAAACACGCATGGATGACATCTGAAACTTGGCATGTTTTTGAATGAGGGAACAATATTACAATGCTCAGCCCACAAGTCTACGTCACCCGTGCCCCCACACAATAATTCTCCAGAAATATACAAAAACATGATACAAAACTGTAAGCAACAACTTCACAAATCTGATGCATTGTGCTGTAGTTTCATTAAAGGGACGCACGCTGATTGTGTTGTGATAGTGCTCTGAAGGGAAATGGAGAGAGGGGAAACTGAGAGCATCAAAAACAAAACTGAAATTTACAAGTCATATTAATATGTTGTTTTGCGCAAACATAGTATTTTCAAAACTATACAAGGAAACACGGTGATCTAAATATGTTGTGTGTTAGCAGTTAATACCCCAGAGAAGTAAAAGTCCTGCTTGAAGAAATTAAAAACATGCATTTTTAAGTGGTGTAAGTGGAGGTAACTTGGCCTGGTGGTGGCACATTTTCGTCTCCATGGAGATAGATACATTTAATGCCATACTGTGAAATAAAGCATCTTCTCCATAAAGACCAGCAGGTGTCATACCCTCTTCCAAAAAAGATACGCAGTAGACCTATAAAGGTACCTAATGAATAGCATACCACCTTACTATACAGACATAGTGAGTCTACATGTACCTGTGTGACTCTGCTGCTCCTGAGAGGTGGAGAGAGGAGGAAGAGGAGGAGGAGGAGAGGAGGACAGAGGAGGAGTGGACAGAGACGGAGGGGAGATGGGCAGAGGTACGTAGCCGAAGGAGGAGAAGGGGGTCGGGGGTGCGGTGTGGGACAGGGCCGGGGTGGGCAGGTGCAGGGGCAGGGGCAGAACTTTGGAGGGGGCGTGTCCATTTGGAGAGCCTATGGGGCAGGGGCTGGGTCTGCGTAGGAGGAGGGTGTGGCATGGCTGGGAGGGGGAGTGGCCTGGGCATCAGGGGGGCGGGGCAAAACAAACGACAACAAACTGATCAGTAACAAGAAAAGAATAAAAAACGTGAGAAAAAAAACACATCCATATATCCACAGGGAATATATATTACAAATTAGAATGTAACAAAGTTGTACTTAAAATGGTAAAGCAAAGGTGAAAACAAACAAAAGCATCTTGCTTAATCTACAGCGAGCAGGAGGTTGAGAGGGAAAGGCAGAGGGCAGTGACGTTTGACATTTTTGTTCAAAATAAAATTCAGGGCTGTTTGCAAATGATGTTCTTCCCGAGTACTTCACAATAACAACATTTTCCACATTGGCCCTCTGCTGCTCAAAAATTAGTCAAATGAAGTAAGCTACAGATAGAGGACATACCCTAGTTTTCTCATTCTCAGTATATGGACATATGGACAGAGCACATCTCATGTGAAAGCTCAGAACCTCCAGAATCTCCTCCCTGAGCTGCACAGGCTGCACTAGCACTGACTCATGACTGGAGCAGGTTCTGGGGTTTAGGGAGGGACCATTCGGATCAGAGACAGCCATTTCAGGTTTAAACCAACTGGATTTCAGCATTGAAACTGGACCTCTCCTAGACCAACACTGCATCACTGTGAAGAAAGCCCAGGCGTGCCTCTACTTTCTGCAGAAACTCAAGTGGACAAATGCCTCACAACCATCATGAGCACATTCTACAGAGAAAGAGAAGCTGGACTGACCACAACAGGAGAGTCCTGCAGCCCCGCAGAGTCAACACAGCCAGAAGATCACCGGTGCACCACTCCCCGCATATACACCACCCGCCTCACCCGCATATACACCACCCGTCTCACTCACATATACACACCCGTCTCACTCACATATACACCACCCATCATCACATATACACCACCTGTCTCACTCACATATACACCACCGGTCTCACCCGCATATACACCACCTGTCTCACTCGCATATACACCACCTGTCTCACTCGCATATACACCACCTGTCTCACTCGCATATACACCACCTGTCTCACTCACATATACACCACCCGCCTCACCCGCATATACACCACCCGTCTCACTCGCATATACACCACCTGTCTCACTCGCATATACACCACCTGTCTCACTCACATATACACCACCCGCCTCACCCGCATATACACCACCTGTCTCACTCGCATATACACCACCTGTCTCACTCGCATATACACCACCCGCCTCACCCGCATATACACCACCTGTCTCACCCGCATATACACCACCCGTCTCACTCGCATATACACCAGCCGCCTCACCCGCATATACACCACCTGTCTCACTCACATATACACCACCTGTCTCACTCACATATACACCACCGCTCTCACCCGCATATACACCACCTGTCTCACTCGCATATACACCACTCCGCATATACACCACCTGCTCTCACCCGCATATACACCACCTCACTCGCATATACACCAGCCGCGCTCACACCGCATATACACCACCTGCCTCACTCACTCACCTGCACTCATGCATATACACCAGCCGCTTCACCTGCCTCATCTGCATATACACCAGCCGCTTCATCCGCAAAGCCACCACAATTGTGAGTCATACAAGTCACCCCACACACAATCAGCCTCCAGGAGGAGGTACAGAAGCCTCCATTTACCTCCAATCTGAGGATACTTATAGGTAACTATGAGATTTAAAATAAAAATCTTAGATTTACTATCAGATACATTCACTTTTCAGGTTGGAACCCCTACAGTAACCATGCATAAATGCAAGGCCCTAACATGTTTAAATTAAATAAAACAAATAGTCTTTTACATACAAACTGACGTACAATTTGATTCTCAGGCTTGATGGAGCCTTTCTGTGTCCATTTTGCCTCTTATCCCCTTATCCCTATCTGGGAAGATGGAGCTTAGTTTTTACCATCAGCTTCCAATACTAAGTGTACCATAACAAAATAAAACATCTTATTATATGTAAACTATATGGTTTTGTATTCCCACAACATTATACTATGAAAGCTATACTGTCAAAGTTAAACTAAAAAATCAGTGACTGCCTTCTGCCACGGGGGTCAGTAGAGTGGAAGGAGAGGTGGGAAGAGGGAGGGACAGGGACAGAAACAGCCAGTAGGAACAGTGTTTGGTGATGACGGACAGGTGGGACACACTGATGGGACTTCCTACAGGCACATGAAGCTGTATGGGACTATATCTAACAGTCCACCGCCCCAGAGCAGCTGTGGGTCAGTGGTCACCTGCCCTCTTGATGACCTCCACCATGTTGGAGGGGAAGTAGCCCACACGGTCGTTCCCTGTGCGGTTGTCGTGGATACAGCCCTTCCATCTGCCGTCAGAGTGCTGCTCCAAAACCTGTCAAGAGCAACAAAGGTAATGAATGAATTAAAGTGGAACTAAAAACGAAAGCCATGCTTTTTTTTGCTACTAAACTGTGTATATTAGGGGTGAGCTCAAATATTTATCAATATATACTAAGTTTGGTGATACAGTATCATTATTGTAAGATGCTGTATCGACATATCGCCAAGAGTATTTTTGATATACTTTACTCAATTGTTTTGGGACAATTTTGTTGCTTGTTTAGAAAAAGTAAACTTGCTAATGGAATTTACCTGACATACATAAATACTGGTTTAACAAATTAATACTACTGTTAATCTGTATTTGGTTCTTCAAATAATAACATACAGTACATATGCTATATATCGATTATCACATTTCCTCCATTTCCTCTGGAGTAACGCAATTATAGATACTGTCAGTGTAAAGGGGTTCATTATTTTACTGTGAGTCTCAGCAGCGGTGACAGATCAGACTCTCTCGTCTCATTCAGAGGAAAGAGTAAAGGGGACAATGGTGTGTGAGCCCGTTTTTGGGCTTTTGATCTCTGTGGATGAGAATAACTTAAAACACTGGCTCTAGGCGCATTTGATGATTTGCACACAAAATAAGGCCATACAGAGCTCATTTTTACCGTAAAAACTGCAAGAGGGGTATTTGTTTGTTGGTAATTTAATAGTTACTTCATGAGGTAATTAGTTACTTTCATCGCAATGATTTTGGAAAAAAGTAAAGGGTAACTATATAACTAATTACTTTTTTGTAGGATCTTGCCCAACACTGATATAGCACAGTGTATATGGTGTTTTAATAACATTTTATACTGTTCCTACTCATTTCTGGCTATTTGAACTATGAAAACGTTCATAGTTATGCCTTCAGTGAGAATCCAGAATGTAAATAATTATCAAAATGAAGAAGAAACAAATGAAAAGTTTTGACTGGCAGTGTGGCACATATCCTTTCAGTATCAAAAAACCCCAAATAGTTCTTGCCTGACCTCCTGTCTGCACCTAGCCAGACTGGCGCCACCTAGTGCCTCCACTCAATTTAATTTGTCTCCAGCAGCTAGGTCAGGAATCAGAATACAATAGACGGTTCACAAAAAACCCGGAAGTGCGAGTTCAGACACCAGCCAATCAGCGAAGAGTGATATATTCAGTGTTGTCAGTAATTCCAGAGATCGAGGATTTAAAGCTGGAACAAAGAGAATGTTTGGTGTATGTCATCAAGGGGAAAGACGTTATTGTCCTTCTTCCTACGGGATTTGGGAAAAGCTTAATATACCAGTTAGCTACATTAGCGGTGCATTACATACATCATGACCAAACAGCAGCGATTGGTTAAATGATAAAAAGTACCTGCCTACCATCAAGTGAACGAAATCTAAGGCTGCGAGGTCAGACGGTTTGTATGAAGTGAAACGAAGTAAATGAATCAGGCTAGTTGTCATGGTTCATGTTTGTAGTGGTTGTATTTGCTCATTTTGGTGTTTTATTTTGAAATTTTTTGTGACTGCTTGTAGTTTTGAGTTTTACTTCCTGTCTTGATTGTTTGTCCTGCCCTAATGTGTTTCACGTGTGTCTGTGTGCATTTAAATCCTGTGTTCTCCTCTGCCCTTTGTTGGTCCATTGTCACTGTCAGGGTTTCATCTTGTCTCATGTCATGGCAGTTTAGTTTAAAGTTTTGGACTTTTTAGATTTATGGATTTGTTATTAAATACTTTAAAGTAGTCCTGCATTTTGGGTCCTCCCTCTGTTTCTACATGACTCTAGTCTGCACCAATACGGGCCATCAAATTAAATACTAAGGAATAGATTCGATGCTCAGTACCACAAAGATAATAAAAAACACTCTTTCTTCATGAAAAGTACTGAAAAAGTAAGTAAAAGTACTCTATGTGCTCTTATACATGTTCTCATACAGCTCAAGATCATTCTAAAGCGATTCAGGAAACTTCATTTCTGTCCTGCTGACTTTTTTAGTATCGATACTTGCTTAAATCAGTATCTAGTTTTGATTCTAGTTTTAGACACACCAAGTACAGACACAGGCTTGGTGGTTGTTAGAGAATTCTATGATATAAATGTATTTATTTGATTCAAAGTCTCATTAAAGTGTTACTCATTTATATATGTAATTCTTTCATTAAAGTATTAATCATTTAAAGGGTGAAACATTTAAATATTAATCATGGTGTAATCAACATTGCTTTGGGTCTGTTTTGGTTCAGGATGTACGTGACATGAAAACAGATGAATGACATGTCAACTGACCGATTAAGCTAATCTACTATGGGCGCCAACAATTCTGGGTTTGTCCCATCTTATGTTAAAACTAAAGGCCTTGGGGAGCCACGCAATTGTCTATCTTTGGGATATGTAATCAAAGTGTGAAATGGGAGGGTGGTTCAGTTGACGATTGTTAGTTATAAGATAACATGTGAAATGTATGTATTGTGATGTCATCAAGTATGCTTATCTGTGAAATGATTCTCAATAAAAGTGTGACTTGGAGAGTTGTTGAGCAGAGTAGGTCAGGGAGCTGACAGACAGTGTTCACGACTCTCCTTGCGCAAGTATAATTATAACCGTCTCTTTCTGGTGTGTCTTTATTTAATGTATTTTTAATGTCTTTTGGGTAGAATTCCCTGACAGTGGTCATGACAGTCGCTCGCCCTGGCTCTGTGCTGGGGGGGAGAGGTAGGACCATGTGCCTGTACCGTGATAATGTCCCCAGCTTTGATGTTCAGGCTGGTCAGGTCGTAGTTGTTGCAGTAATCTTTGAGCGCTCGCACTTGCATCGCCGCCGAAGCATCTGCAAGGAAAATAATCAAATATGTTATCAAATAGAAAATGTGTACAGAAAAAATATCATGTGGGACCTATGGAAGACAATTTGTTTCATCAGATTTTGATTTTTAAATGCCGTTGAATTTCTCACTGGGATTTTTTTTTTTACTCAAAACATGACGAAAAAGCCCACAGAACTTCAACTGATGAATTTTTATAACTGTGATGTGACTGATCTGCTGGATTAAGGGCGCCACATCACTTTGGTGGAACCTCTGAACCGTCCTTTTCCATAATATTGTGAACCATCAGCTTCTTCTGTTCTTCTATCACACCGAAAACGAAGAATGCCAGGCCAACCATTTCTTCACTCAAGTACCAAAGACGTCAGCCGAAAGCTGTGAAAGTTGCTTTCTTGACAACTGAATTTTCATACTTCTTAAGGAATACTAAATGAGCTTTAAAACTTCATGCAGAAACTTCACGCAGTTTGAGCAACCTCTAAAACATCTCCTTTTTTCTTCCAAATGTATCTTCCATATAATCTGCTTGAAAAAGGTGAGCTGCTATAGTGGAAGACAGTATAAGGATGTATTTTTGGTTCATGATTAATGTATTTGATCGCCCACGCACGGAGTTTGTCCTGTAGGCATCTTCATTTATGGGCTGAGAAGTCTGAGAGAGAACAATGGAATAGCATGATGGCTGTGCACATGCAGTCGTTCTCAGTGGATGGCTGGCTTGCTAAATTTACCAGAAAATAAGATACTAAAATGTTGACTATAAATAGAAAAACACAAAAACAGAAGACTCCTGAAGCTGTTGGGTAGAAATTAAAGGTTTTATAGAGGGTTTTCCAAGGAAAGTCAAATACAGCGACTGTTTGTCCTTTTTCAAATACTGTGTATGCATGACACCCTCCCTCCCTAAGTACAAATGCCGCCTCCCGCCTCCTCCTTATGCTAGAAATCATGCTAGTTTAGTTTGTGCGTTCAGAATCACTGAATGAAATGCTGTGCAAAGTCCATCTCTGACATGTTAGTGCCATATGAACCATCTGAGGAGCTCAGGGACCGGCCTCCTGCTGGTGCCCAGAGTCACGACTAAACACGGGGAGTCAGAGTGTCAGGTTCACGCAGCTAAAACCTGGAACAGTCTGAACATGTGAGACAGACTTGACTTTGATGCTGTTTAAAGCCAGGCTCAAAACGGTTCTGTTTAACTGTGGCATATGACTGAAAGGTTTTTATTCCTCACTCTTCTCTCTAATTTATCTTCTCTCAAATTTATGTTTCTCTTTTTTTTTATTTTAATCTTCATGATTATTTATGTTTTGATTTGTTTTTAATTGTGATTTTAATGTATTTCTTATTCTGTAAAGCACTTTGAATTACTTTGTGTACGAATTGTGCTGTACAAATAAACTTGCCTTGCCTGTTGAAGTTTCCTGTCCAGAAGTCATTTAGCGACCAATGCGTCAGTCTTTAGACCCTTCGTCTGCTTCGATCGCTGGAAGGAATCTAGAAGAATCACCTCAGTTTGGCTTGGCTCATTTCCTACTTCTCTTCTTCTTTCAGCGACCTCAAAAACTGACTTTCTTTTGCAGTGAACTGGTCATGGATTCTTGTCCGCCATCGCAACAAAGTTCGTGCAAACTGCGAGGAAGCTACAGTTCGAAAAAGCTGTTGATCGAGTAAACAGTGTCTTGCATTTGTGGAATGCGTGAGAGGCGTATGCAAACCACATAATCCCAGTGCACCGGCAAGTCAGTTACGCTAGAAATGTAAGGATTTTGATTGACAACCTAACAGCCAATAGATAATAAGGTACCCTCGTTATGTATTGTCTAATGTTTGTCTGGCCACACCTTGTCCAAAGTTCTTTTTTTTTTTTTTTTTTTTTGGTCATCATAATTACAAGACAGCTTCATCTTTTTAAATTCTATTTTGAGCTTTCATTGACAATCTCAAACAAAAAAAAAAACCTCCATACAACCTTTAAACATGTAATTCGTGCAGATTTGTTTGTAGATATTAAAGGTCATATATTACACAAAACTGACTCATTAGAATGTTGTTACCTCTGCAAAACACAAACCTGTATTTTGTTTCATTCACACATGTTTGAGTAAAACTTTAGTATTACTCTGTCCACATCGCCAAAACTCAAAATGCTGTTCCACCTTGTGATGTCGTGAAGTGGTAAGTTCAAGTTAATAGCTACTTTTTACCTTTTCAGTAGAAATTTGCAATTCCAGGACTGAAATTATCCAAATGATTCTAGTGAAGCTGTATGGAATTTAAAAACACAGTGGAGCACTTCTTGTATTACCATATGTTCAAACAGTAGCTCAGTGGGATTTAGTGTTTGTCCACTGATCGGCTCTTGACATAAACATCATTGGTACAGCAGTCAGTCCCATTGGCCCACCAGGTTGGAGTGCGATTCCAGCTTCCACAGATGAATGCTTAACACTTAACGCACCTTGTCCCCAGTGTCTGTGTGCGCTGGTGTGTGAATGTGTGTGAATTGGTGAGCAGTTCCTCGATGTAAAGTGCGTTGAATGCCCAGGAATGACATCACAAAGTGGAACACAGTGTTTTCGGTTTAAGAGAAGAACACAAGCTAAATATGCAGGGTGTGTGTGAACGAAATAAAACACAACTCCAGGTCTGTTTGTGATGAGGAAACAACATGATAACACAGATCAGAATATAGCGTAATATGGGACCTTTAAGTGCACTGAAAGCCCTTTTCTTTGCCCCAGTGCACATGTGGAACGACTGGCACCCTGCACATGAATATTGATGGTGTGCCCTTTCCCGGCGCTCCCCTGTGGTGTGAGAGAGCACTGTACCTCTGAGCAGCTGTTTGATCTCTCGGCTGGCCTGTGTGGTAGTGAACTGATTGACTATGTCCAGCGCTGTCTGGCTCAGTGTGTTCCTCACCCCAGCACTGATGCCACTCTGAAAACACACAAATATGCAGTCAAATACACAGTTAGTCAGTCACACTTTGCAGATAGCATCACACCCTCAGGGAATGCTGATGACACTAACTGTAGGCATGCTCTGTCTGAGGTTTTGACTGACGTAGTGAGAACTATGACAGGTGAGCTGATTTGTGTTGGTTAAGTCTGAACTCAGCTTCCTGTTAAATGAAACATTTTAGCCCTGTCCCAGTCTCCACACTCTGCACTACACACGTGAATGAAGTGTGCATTTTCTTAAAGTGCATTAAGTGTGAGAGTGTGTAAGGGCACAGGGGAGAGTAAAATAAGACTTGGAACACTTCACATGACTGGCGTACTGACGTGGGAAAGTAAACATCCAAGCTGTAAACACAGCTGTGAGACATGTTGTTAAACTAAAGTTCAGTTCATCAGAAAGCCACATCCTGTAGTCCTGTTATAATCATTTGCTGAATTAGCCATGTTAGCAGGGTCCCTTTTACGCAGCGTTGTCGTGAGCATTAAAACACAGTACACTTCATATTCTCTTTTTGTGTGGTTACCCCATTCTCCACGGGCACACACTTTTATTCACAGGTGCAGGCCATTCATAATTTTGTGCCTCACGTGATCAAGTGTTCTTACACACCATTGGTTAAATCATAAGTCTCTATCATAAGACAAATAATAAAATGAGGGCACAACACAACACCCCCACTTGCTCACATTTGAAAAAATACATTACTATACAAACACAATCAGGCCTATACACCTATAACATGTTTATCGTGCACCAAACATAAATGTTTCAAAATTTAACAACTTAAGTTTGGTTGCTGGTTTCGTCATTACATCCGCAACCATCTGATTAGTGGGACAGTACTCCAGGCTGATCCTGCCATCAGTTAACATGGACCTTACAAAATGGTATTTTATATCCACATGTTTACAGCGTTGTCTTTTTACAGGATTCTTTGCCAAAGCTATAGCTCCCTGGTTGTCCTCATAGACTTTGCAAGAATATTTACGACCGTCAAAACACTCCATAAATTGTTTTAAATACATACACTCCTGTATGGTTGCGGCTAAAGCCATATACTCAGCCTCACAGGTGGATAGAGCTACAGTAGGCTGTCTTTTAGTCTTCCATGAGACTAGTGGTCCATCCATGTTTAGACTGATACAATAACCTGTTGTACTTTTTCGATCACTCACATCAGCTGCTCAGTTTGCATCACTGTAAGCATACAAAATACTTACATCTGTGTGTTTCTTGAAACATAAGACTTTGTTTTGAGTACCTTTTAAATAACGCAAAGTATGTTTGACACTAGTCCACTGCTCTGAAGTTGGTTTTGTAAAATACTGAGACAGTTTACTCACTACAAAACTCAGGTCTGGTCTGGTCCAGGTGGCCAGATAGATTAAACTCCCGACTGCTTCCCTGTATTTTTTGACATCATCCATTATTTCAGCATCATCCCTGTAGACCAGTTTTTGTTCACAGGAGGTAGCTCTGACTTTACAGTTTTTCATATCAAACCTCTCTAGTATTTTCTCAACATACTGGCATTGTGACATTTTGATACCGTCATCAGTTTGTTCAAAGTCAATGCCCAGAAAATGTGTCAGTTTTCCTAGATCTTTCATCCTGAATTTGGACTTGAGCTTTTCTTTGACACTTTTCATAACATTTTCATCACTGGTGGCAATAATCAGATCATCAACCCAAATAATTATATACACTTTTTCATTGTTAGTCACTTTGCTATACACACAATGATCAGCTGGGTTTTGTACAAAGCTAATTTCACACAGGTAGTCATGCAACATTTTGTTCCAGTTGCGCCCTGATTGTTTTAGTCCATACAGGGATTTCTCCAGTTTACATACCAGTCTGTCATTTCCCTCAGATTTCACCTCATAGCCCTGTGGTTGTTCAATGTAAATCTCACATTCGATCGGTGCATGTAAATAGGCTGTTTTCACATCCATCTGGTGGACTATCAGATCCTCCTGAGCTGCTCTTTGTGCCAGCACTCTGATACTGGTCATATTGGCAGTAGGAGAGAAGGTCTCTTCATAGTTCACTCCTCTCTTCTGACTATATCCTTTGGCAACATAACGCGCCTTGTATTTGTCAGATCCATCATTGTTCTTTTTGAGTGCATAGACCCATTTACCCCCCACTACAGCTTTGCCCTTCGGTAATGTGGTCAGGGTAAACGTTACATTGTCTTTTAATGACTGCATCTCTTCATCCATAGCATTAACCCACTCTTTTGCATCTGGTGAGGTTACCACTTCTTTGTATGTTTGAGGTAAGTTACATAATAGTCTATAACAATAGTCAATATTGGTCTCATCATCCTCAAAACCACAAACATAATCATCTAAATAACCAGGTCTCTTCCTTTCTCTAGCTGGGTATCGCCTCTGGTCAGATAGATGTTCCCCATTTTCCTCTTTTGGTGCCTGTTCCTGTTCTTTATTCACCATTTGTGTCTGGCTATCACTTTGCTCTTTGACATCTACTTGTTTTTCAGTTACATGTGGACTAACAGGTGGGGTTTTAATTTTCTCTCTGTTGACCACAAAATCATCTTCATCAGCATCCAGCACATCTGTGTCCGTTTTGGATATAAACTCCACAAGTCTTTGTCTCTGTACTTTTCTGTTGCTGGGATAGTAACACCAAATAGGCTGGACTATTCTTGTCATATCCGATAAAAATCCCTTTCTCACATCTTGTGTCCAACTTTCCTTTTTGTTGATGTTTAAATGTGTAACACAATTGTCCAAACTTCTGCATCCTGGAAATATTAGGCTGCCTGCCAGTTAGCATGTAGAAAGGAGTCTGTTTAGTGCGATTGCTGAAGCACCTATTCCTCACTACAGCTGCAGTCTGGACAGCATAAATCCATAACATCTTAGGTAGCCCACTCTGAATGAGCACACACCTGGCCATGTCAAACAGAGTTCTCCAGTTGCGTTCAGCAGTACCATTTTGATGGGGAGAGTATGGGGCTGAGGTCTCATGCCTAATACCACTCCGGTTCATTAATGCTTGGTACCCTTTCCCAGTGTACTCTGTACCATTATCTGATCTCATACATTTCACCTGCCCATAAGGGGCCATATCAGCTAGAAACTTCTCAGTAGCTTGTACTGTGTCACTCTTATTTTTCAGAAAGTATACAAACACTGCACTAGAATAATCGTCTGTAAAGGATAGTGCGTACCTATGACCTTCTCTGGACATAGGGTCTACAGGACCAGCTAAATCTGTGTGCACCATTTCCAGAGGTGCTTTAGCCCTGGTATCCGGCCTCTGTTTCTAGTTTGAATAAACTTCCCCTGTGTGCAGATTTCACAGTGTGGTGGAGTTTTATTTCCCTCATTCTTAATCTCCATACCACTTACAACATGCTTTAATTTCATGATATCTGCAAAATTGCAGTGTCCTAGAATTTCATGCCAAGTCTGCAAATCATGACATTTGTTACACTGGTCTTCACTGTCACTTTCTGATGTGCGCAGATAGTACAGTTTGTTGTGTACATGTATGGGAAATTTAGTGCCATCTTTATGTAGCAGAACGTTCTTCTTCTCACCGAAGATCACCGTGGCTCCACACGTGGTGGCAGCTTTCACAGAGAAGATATCCTGAGGATAAGTTGGGATGTACAAGGCCCTCCTCAGCGTTGTTTTGAGACGGTGCCCCCTGCTGTCGACCAACCACACCTCTGCGTCCCCTCTGTGCTTGGCGACTCCGTTGCTCCTGGTGCCATCTGCTAGCTCCACACAATGCGTCCCGGCCTGGAAACTGGCATCGAACCTCTTGAACTTGGCGATGTCTGTGATGATATGTGACGTTGCACCCGCATCCACCATCAGACCTTTGCTTTTGACATCTGGCACCTGCATTTCCGAGTCACTTATCCGGAAAGCATATTCCTTGCTCTCCGCGTCGGACGCTCGCTGTGCGTTATCCCGCTGCTTCCTCCGTCTACACGTCGCATTGTTGTGTGTGTTACTTTTACAGTGGCTGCACCACTGCTTGCGCGGACAGCTTTTGGCTATGTGGCCTCTGACACCACACTTATAACACTCAATGTCCGTATTGCCACTGTCCTTTGCGCTCTCTGGTGCGCGCCTTGTGCCAAATTGCGCTCTCGCCTTCATCACGTTGTCCTCAGACACAGTTGCACGCATATTTTCAATGTCCTCATAACTCCGGAGCTTTGTCTTAAACTCCGCAAAAGTCATTTTATCTTCACTCTGAGAAACATGAATGGCAAATGGTTTAAATGTCTCTGGCAGCCCCTTTAAAACCGTTGCTATCAAAAGTCCGTCACTGAGCGCCTCACCTGCGCTTCGCAACGCAGTAATCGCAGTCTCTGCTCTGATTACATACTCAGTGACATTTTCCATCGGTGACTTTTGTAGAGACGTTAATTCAGTGTACAAGTTTATCACCCTGGGCTTCCCTTTGCCAGCGTAATATTCCCGGAGAATCCTCAGCGCCTCGCGTCCATCATCCACCGCCTCGCGCATTACCAGCGACAGGCTCTTGTCATCCAGGAACTGGATAAGCTCCGCATAGGCCTCAGCATTCTTCTCGTCATCATCTTCGTCGTCAGGACCAGGTGATTGTAAAATAGTGTCCTTCAATCCTTGGAGACGGAGGTGGCCCAAAAACTTTGTCTCCCACAGCTCGTATCCTTTTTCATCGCCATTAAATACGAGTCTGCCCCAGCGGCTTGGCACAGTGTCCTTTTCTCTGTTTTTACTCATGTTTGCGGTCAATGGCTGAACTCAGGTGCACGCATTTACCGTCGCGACATTCACCTGGAGACCGCTCCTCAAACTGCGTAAAATGACTCTGGGCCCATAACATGTTAGCAGGGTCCTTTTACGCAGCGTTGTCGTGAGCATTAAAACACAGTACACTTCGTATTCTCTTTTTGTGTGGTTACCCCATTCTCCACGGGCACACACTTTTATTCACAGGTGCAGGCCATTCATAATTTTGTGCCTCACGTGATCAAGTGTTCTTACACACCATTGGTTAAATCATAAGTCTCTATCATAATACAAATAATAAAATGAGGGCACAACACAACAAGCCATAAACAAATAAGATCAGTGTTAATGTTTTGACAGTGTTGTTACCTGGACAGTCCATCTATTTCTATAAAATATCAGTTTAACTGTCAAGCTCTTCCTTTCCGTTGTATCCAGTTGCCTGCTAAATTGCTAATACAATAGGTTGTTTAAGTGCACTGTGCTGCTTGAAAGCTTATCAGTGAAATGCATTGTGGGGAATACACTTGTCAGTGTGGATCAAAACTTTCTAAAGAACTGATACACCCTGCACATTTAAGTCTAAGTATTGGGACAGGGCCTTTGATGCATGCAAGCAAAAGATATAATATTTTATTAAAGATACATTATTTTATTTAGATTTTAAATTGTTCGTCATTGCTATGGCAACAGACCTAATTTCTCACCATTCTGAATCCCAAATCCAAATGTACTGTCAGCTATAACCACCAGCTCTGCAGACAAGCTGAAACTTGTCAAAAGTATAAAAAAATCAGATACTATCAATATTAAATCTAGTATCACAACTAGATATTAATTTTAGAAGGCATCGATAATAAAAATCACAGGACAGAAATGAACCTTTGCTGAATAGTTTTAGAATGATCTTGAGTTGTATCAGAACAAGTATAAGAGCACAAAGACTCATATACACCCATGGACCACTGAGGATTTACACAGATATAAATCACATTCTATCATCTAAAGGAAGCATTTATTATTGTCATTGTGGTATCGGAATCAGTATTGAGTATTGAGTCTATCTATCTATAGTATCGAAATCAAGTTTGAAATGATAATATTGCGACACCACTAGTATATAGTATGTTTTGACACTCAGAGTGACAGGTTGTGACCACTCTGTCTGCATTAAATTTACAGGACATTTACTCACACTGCAATATTCATGGACATTTGTGCAGTGTGACATATTTAACAAACGTAGCATCCCCCACCTCCCACAGTCTATTTGCACTCGGATTATCTTGGTGAACATATTTATGCTGGCCACTCACGCCAAGGGAAGTTCTGCAAAACAGGATGCCTGCTATTAAGCTGTTGGTTTCGTTTTGAGAGAGTTTGAACTTTTGTTTTTGACCTTTAATGTTGTTTCATTGACACGAGTGTCAATGAAACAAGGAGTTGTGTTTTGTTTCATTCACACATTCACACATAACACACAAACCCTGTATATTTAGACTGAGTTCTTCTCTCAGACAGAAAAAGCTCTGTTCCACCTTGTGATGTCATGTGGTAATACAGGAATTGCATACACTTTCACTAGAATTATTTGTATATTTTCACTCCTTGAACCTCTATTTAACAAAAGGTAAAAGGAGCTGCTATATTGAAAACTACAGCTTCGTGACATCACAAGGTGGAACAGAGCATTTTGATCTTTGGAGACTTAGACAGGGTAATAATGCAGAGTTACTCAAACATGTGTAAATGAAACTAAACACAACTCCAGGTATCTTTTTGATGATATAACAACATTATAACATGGCTTAAAGCTCATAAGAGTCAATTTTGTGTAATATAGAACCTTTAATAACAAATACAAAAGTCTACAAATACAAATATTTAGTTTGTACCTGATATCTAAAACAAGAAAATCAAGTCAGTCATAGAAAACCAATCAACAGTTAAACAGGGACAATGCTGAACTGAACTTTTCTCTCCTTAAATAACATGTTTCTGAGTCTGTGTGTTGGGGAAATAATTATTATGGAGTGAAAACAACAATTCCTTGGACAAAGTTGGACCAAATAGCTAAGAAACACATTTGCTTTGTAATGTTAAGGAGTCTTGTCCAAATAAAATGATGATAACTTTCGTCCAGAGAGTTATTGTTTTTAGCTCAAGTACAGCAAAACGGAAAATGAAAGTAGTCGCTCTGTTGTTGCTGTGGCTGTGCAGAGCTTAGGGGGGAAAAAAGGAACTTCAACTCGCCCCATGACAATTAATCTCCTCAGCACATGGACTCGGAAAATGTTATTTAAGGAGAGAAAGGCTCAGTTCAACCGTGTCTCATTCCAAAGTCTATATCAGTGATAAATGAGTGTAGTCTGGAGTGTCCCTGCTGTTTAACTGTTCACTGTACTGCACTGTTGACTTGATTTTCTTGTTTAAATGTCAGGTACAGACTAAATATTAAGCAGAGTCGTACACTTTTATATTTATTATTAAGCTGTTGCACCTCCTTGACATTTTAGATGCATTTTGAACTTATACATCATATCATATCATATAAAGAAAATCTGAATGTTTAATCTCTAATCTATTGCAATATGATAGGGTCTGGTCAAGTGGTAACGGAGGGAAACAGGGGCAAATTTTTGACATTCAAATGTCTCTTATTCAGAAACTAGAGGGACTATTGAAATAAGTAAAGTATCAGAATGTAGGAAAGAGTTACACTCCAACAGGGTCAAGTTAAACCTGTGATATTCTTTCAAGTTGTTAACAAAATTTTAAAAACTCATGTCGGTAACGGAGGGAATGAAATATGCAGCACTTTTTGGGCAATAAATATAAACAGTGATAACTAGTGGTTCTCACTTACATATCCTTAACAAACTGGTTTGAATATTTGCTTCATATAGTTTTCTACCATATGGTTCAAGATTAGGTTGAAAAACCTCTTACTTTTTGAGTAATGAGATTTTTTATTAAGAAAGGTCATGGTAACGGAGGGAAAAGTAACGGAGGGAAAATTGTGCAAACAAGTAGAAGGTGCAGGATTTTACATAATTTGTCAGTTTTTTTCTTCTGAATACTTTAATATTACTTCAAAATGAAAGGAAACTATTTCTATAAAATATGTCAGTCCTTCCAAGCTAATTTTTATCATTTTCAAATACATGTTTGTTTGTTTTTTATCATGTACCTTCATCAACAGTTCAAAGATGGAATAACACAAGATATAATAAAATACATCCATTTATTTACATGATTTGCAGGTCTTTGAAATTTGGGAAATAATTTTTGTTCCATGTTTCATACATGGTCTGTTTAAAACATATGGAACTTTAGAACCAAAAATGGTACAGAAAAAAGGTCAACAGTTTCATAAACTAGAGTACATATGTATCTGTTCAATACATTTTTATATCAGATGCATTAACTTGAATTTTTGGCCTTGCTGTTTACTTCTGCTTGACCAGGCCCAATAGTGCTTTATGGTAAAAAAGAGAACTTACATCCAGCAGTAGGCGCACTACCTCTGTCTTCCCACAGAGGGCAGCCTGGTGTAGCGCTGTGCCTGACTCAGACTGTCTGTTGATGTCTATGCCAGCTTGGATCAACAACCTGCACAAAAATACAAAATTTTAATATAATAAAAAAGCGGCTCTATTCCAAATATTAGCAACTGATTCTTAGCAGTGATATCGTGCTGGGGGTGTTCTACATTTATTTATTTATTTATTTGATTGGGACAGAGCATGTTAATGAACAAACATGACAACATGAATGTAAACACACCGGATTGTAGCCTAAGGCTAATTTCCATCCGTTGTCCCAAGGGCAAGGGTCACAGGGGGCCAGACACTAAAATATTGCACAGTTCCCATTCATTGCACATAGAAAAACAATTAAAATCACAGTGCAGTTATACATGTGTACATGTTTGATTTGACCATAACCAAGTTTTAGTTTGAGCTTTAAAAGAGCTGTATGTAGGGCATTCTTTCAGGGTCAGTGGAAGACTGTTCCACAGATTTCCACCTTGTACAGATAACACATTCTGACCAAAGGTGGTCCGTCTCTGGGGTATGACCAAGTCACCCCTGGTGGTGGCTCGTGTGGTTCTTATTGAAATGTCTTTACGTTTAATGTAATTATTTAATGGTGGTGGTGCCAGGGAGTGTAGAACCTTATAAATTAGACAAGTCCTTTTGAGTTTGACCATGTATCTCTATGGTGGAATGTTCAGCAGTTACCATGGTGACACAGTGTACACATTACCAAACACTGTAAAACTTTTAAGATGGTGTGAAAACGCAACACAAAATGGATTTAAATTGTTGTTGTTCTAAATACATAGCTAAACCAGTTCTTTTTGGTCATATTGTGTTAAAATAAAGCTCAGATTAATCAAAGTTGGAGGTCAGATCTGTGGAGAGGAAAGCCCACTCACACTGAGAATGCATGTTTTTTAAGATGAGGTTTAAAAACATCTGTAACTGATTATAAGATTATAAAACAGATGGTTGCTAGGTAAAAATTACAGAATCATGTGTGCTGCCTGTGTCCAACTAGGAAGTAAAATTATAAATGTCACCAAAATTTTATAAACTAGGCAAGATTTTTAGTTCAATTTTAAATAAAATGTTAACTATGTCTTAGTGAAATAAATAATCCAACCTGTTATATGCATTTTAAAGGTGTAACTTTTTGGTTGGGGGTTTGTCACCTGCTTGTTTCTATGGAGATGTCATTGCTCTGCCTGGAATGTTCCACAGTGTGACAATAAACAGTTCTAACTTACATTTATTCAATTACAGGTGGTTTTAGAGCTCAAAAGTACCTCGAAAAACAGGCATTCTGACTGTGAGCGGGGTCTGGTTTGGTCTCACACTATGAAATATTCCAGACAAAGCAATAACATGTCTGTGAAGAAAAGCTTTTGACGGACCCTCCACCAGAAAGGTTACACAATGCACCTTTAACATTGTGACTACATAACTAGTCTTAAGGTAAAACAAAAAGAGTGTGTGGATAATACGTAGTGTAAAACAGAATGTAAGTTTGGAACACGAGTACAGACTTGATGACATCGATGTGTCCGTTCTTGGCGGCCAGGTGCAGAGGTGACACTCCGTTGGGGTCAGAGGGCTTGGGCTCCAGCATGGTGGCACACATGTTACTACTGAGCAACAGCTGGACCACCTGCACAAACAAAACCAAAGCAAGCACTTATTTGGAGCTTCTATGCCTGTATTATTTACTTTTTAAGGATGGGCCCATATGGATTTTTTGGAGTCGATACTATAATATCTGATATTTGCCTTGCTGCTGTGGCTAACACATATTTGTGGACACTGATATTTAGCTTTTAAAATCCATAGAGACACACAAATATATCTTAAGTAAAAATAACAATCTCAAATTCACAGATGAATGCTGTCGTTGTGTCCTTGGGCAAGACACTTAACCCATCTCGACCTCAGTGTCTGTGTACACTGGTGTATGAGCGTGTGTGTGAATGGGTGAGTGGTTTCTTGATGTAAAGAGCTTTGAGTGTCTTGAAGGTGGAAAAGTGCTGAAGATAAAAATGTGTGATTCTGTAAAAAGTTGGTAGATAAATCTCTAAACTGCGTGTTGTTTAAACCAATTTAACTGAGTACTACCCACCTCTACCAGTGACCACCTGTCACTATAACAGACATCACGGCTCTACAAGCTAAGCCTTGTTTCCATTAGTCTGTCCCAGGGCAGCTGTGGCTTTAACAGTATACTGCTTCTACCAAGTGTGGTCATTTATAATACATAACCACAGATGAGTAGTACTCAGTTACGTTTACTTGAGTAACTTTTAAAGGAAACATGCTTTTCAGAGTACTTTTCTACTAGCATACTTTTACTACTACTTGAGAAATACTTTTATTGAGTAAAAGTTGTGGTTCCTCTTCCCACTGTGAATAAGTACAAGTGCTTTATGTGACAATATGAAATGATTTGAACAGTTGTGTTTCTTGCATCACTACTTCAGATGTGATTTCAATTTTCAAATTTTTGTGTCTATTCTTTCAAAATATCAAATTAAAAATCAGATGTTACGTCTCGACAGTTACTCTTTAAGTTACTCTTACTTGAGTAGTACTTTTCCCAAATGCTTCTTAACTCTTATTTTTTAATTTTCTTACTTTTTTATCTTTAAAATAGTTATATGTTTATGTAAAAATGCAGCCATGTAACACTCTTCTATTTCCATTTTGTCCCATTAGTCTGTTCAGAAAAGGCACTCAGAGAATGGGGCAAAAAATATCAGTATCAAATATCGGTATTGATATAAATATATGTAGAAGTATCATATCCGATACCGGTCAATACCAATATGGGAACCACTATATCACCAGTCTCTATGATTTTTACCTACAATGTAAATACTAACAGCGATGTAATTAGGCTCTTTTAATGACTTTTATTATTAGTCCCATGTCCTTGCCCACAGATTTATTGTTTAAGCAGCTCTTGATCTATACCCGCTGTGTGCTGTCTGCATCTGATTAGAAAACATTTTATTATCTGAGAATCAGGACATGCGTGCTTAGCATTCTAGTGGCTTTTAGCATTACCGTGACTGAAAAACTCCACTCTGGTGTCTAAAAGGTGTAAAAATTCATTGTGGTGAATAACTAGATGCTCGGAATGCCTAAGGTAAGTGAGGAATAACTTTGGGCCACTGTTTAGAAATGAACTAGTTCTTTGTTTCACATTTTAAAACAGAAAATCTCTAGTTTTTGTGTATTTCTCCACATAGCACATTGGTCTTACCACATTACCACATGACATCACGAGGTGGGACAAAGTATAAACATGCAGGATTTGTGTTAAACGTGTGAACAAAACAAAACACAACTCCAGGTCTGTTATGCAGGAAACAACATTATAACATAAGTCCAAAAATAGTGTAATTTGGGCTTTGTAATAATGAAAACTCGAGAGGTAAACCCAAACATGCATGTATCTTGAAAAAGCAAAGTATATAAAAGCCTAAACCACACCCAAAAAACCCCAAAAATGTCTAAAGTCATACTCCAACACGTCCAAATTCACAGGCCAGGTCCAGCGGGGTTTTCCCTGCGGCGTCAGAGATACAGGGGTTAGACTGGTGCTGGAGCAACATCTCAGTCTGAAACACAAACAGGGCGTATGGTTAGAATTAGGCTGTGCAAAAACATCAAAACATCGATATATCATACTGTTTAATGTGATGATACAGTATCGATATCGTGGGCTGAGTATTTTTTGGTATATTTTACTAAGTTACACTACCTGTCAAAAGTTTTAGAACACCACACTTTCCACGTTTTTACTGTTTACTGTTGACCAAAACGTATTCTAAACTTTTGATTGGTGAAAGTGTCCACCTTTGGCAGATATAAGAGCTGGTGCCTATTTGGAATAAAAACTCAAGATTTGCCATCCCAAAAATTGAACCACATATTACCACTGGGTTTTTTATCAGCTAAACGTGTTATTACGATGAACTAGAGGGAATATAAATGCTTTGACATAGACAATTGGTGCAAAGACTTTTTGGATTTAATTTCTATGTAGCAGCTGCTGAGTTGTTGGATACAAAAAACAAACAGACTGTTGACCTATGGACTGTGGCAAAACCCCATTTGGACAAAACACAGTAAAAGAAGGACATCATACTGTTGGACAATGTTAAAATATATGTGTATGTAAATGCTTGTATAATATATAGTATAACCAAACAACACACACACACTTTTTTTTTTTTTTTATTATTTCTTCTTTTTTTTAATTATTATTAATTATGATTTTATTTTATTTTATTATTTTTTTTTATGCATTTTACTTCTATATTTAGTTTGGTCTGTCTTGTTGTGGATGTGCTGGGTATCCAATCCCTCAAACCTGTATAATTTGTCTATATATATATATATATATATATATATATATATATATATATATATATATATATATATATATATATATATATATATATATATATATATATATATATAATATATATACATAACTCAGCTAAACACACACTTTTTTTTACAATAGAAGTCAAATATTCTTCAGAAAGTTCTTCAAGTCTGTTGCAGAAGTTTCCATAAATGTGTGGCACTTGTAGGTTGCTTTACTCTTCTGTCCAGTTCATCCCAAACCAGCTCCATGGGGTTTAAGTCTGGACACTGTGCTGCTGGACACTCCATGTTTTCCAGCTTTACCATCTTGTTCTTTTTTCTTAAGATAGTTTTGGCAGAGCTTGGACTTGTGTTTTGTATCTTTTATATTTTTTTTTAACCTCAGTTCTTACCTTTGTACCATTTCAAGCTCTTCTTTGAACTTGCATGACTTGAATTGCAATAAATAACTGGAAAAATTAGGGTGTTCTAAAACGTTTAACCAGTAGTGTATTTTGTTACAGTGCTACAGTTTTGTTGCGTGTTTGGAGGAAGGAAACTCATTTACACATATTTCATTCACACATGTTTGAGTAATCCTTTATTTTTAGTCTGTCTACATCCCCAAAGTTCAAAATGCTCTGTTGCACCTTGTGGTATCATGAAGCTGTGGTTTTCAAGTTAATATCTTTTGCGTTTTGTTCAGTAATTCCAGCAATCCCAGCAGTGAAATTATTCAAATGATTGTAGTGAAGGTGTCTGGAGTTTAAGAACACGTTACAGCACTACATGACATTACAAGGTGGAACTGAGTGTGTTTAGTTTGAGAGAAGAACTGTGGCTTTGTGTGTTAAACATGTGTAAATGAAATGAAACACAACTCTGGGTATATTTTTGATGAGGAGTGTGATAGCGGAATATGAGCTCATTGAAGCTAGTAAGACAACAATCAGCACACTATCAGTAATATCATACAGTTTGTGCATGGACGGGCAGCTTGTTTCAAAATAATGTCAGTCAATTAGATGTACAAATTAGTGGACCAAGAAATTACTCAAGAGTAAAAAACGTATTTGAGAAGAATCCTACATAAGTAAGAGTAACTCCTGGGGGTGAGAACACAGCTCTGTTCTGAAGGTTGGCAGTTTGAATCCTGCTCTCGGCATAAACATCATTGGTTTAGTGGTCAGATCCACTGACCCACGGTTTGGCAGTGCAATTCCAGCTCCCACAGATGAATACTGTCATTGTGTCATTGGACGACACACTTAACCCACCTCGCCCTCAGTGTTTGTGTACACTGGTGTGTGAGTGTGTGTGAATGGGTGAGTGGTTTCTTGATGTAAAGTGCTTTAAGTGCCTTGAAGGTGGAAAAGTGCTGTCTACAAAATGTGTGACCATTCTGTAAAAAGTTGGTAGATAAATCTCTAAATTGAGATTTGTTGTTTAAACCAATTTAACTGAGTACTACCCACCTCTACCTGTGACCATCTATCACTATAACAGACATCAAGGCTCTACAAGCTAAGCCTTGTTTCCATTAGTCTGTCCCAGGGCAGCTGTGGCTATAACAGTATACTGCTATAAACTGGGACAAAGGGGCTTTTTTACTCTCACACACCTGGGATACTGTCCTGAGAAAGTGCGACTGCAGATGGCGTTGTGGTCCTGCCTCCACCGGTAGGAAGACAGCGCCAAAACCTGTTTAAATCACCTGACCGGACACATCACAGCAACATCACGTGACCACTCTGCGCTAGTGAGCATACTTTTACTCCTACTTGAGTCATACTTTTGAATAAAAGTGGTAGCACAGTGGCTGAGTGGCTAGCACTCATGCCTCACAGCAAAAAGGTTCCGGGTTTGATCCCCGGGTTGACCGGGCCTATCTGTGTGGAGTTTGCATGTTTCTCCCCGTATTTGGATGGGGTTCTTCTTCTCACTGTGATTAAGTCCATAAGTGACCATAAGTGAGTAAGTCTAAAGTGACAAAAGCTTTATGTGACAATATGAAATGAGTTGAACTTTGTGTTTCTTGCTCTGCTCCTTCAGATATGATTTAGATTTTCAATTTCTTTTGTCTATTCTTTCATAATATCAAATTAAAAATAAGATGATACATCCCGACAGTTACTCTTTAAGTTACTCTTACTTGTGTTGCACTTTTACCAAATACCTCTTTACTCTTACTCAAGTCATTTCTTGGACAACTACTTTGTATTTATACTTGGGTAATATTATTTTGAAGTAATGTTACTATTGCTTGAGTACAGTTTTTGGCTACTCTACCCACCACTGTATATACACTATTGGTCAAAAGTTTTAGAACATCACACTTTCCAGGTTTTTACTGTTTACTGTTTACTGTTGACCAAAACGTATTGTAAACTTTTGACTCACCAAAGTGTCCACCTTTGGCAGATATAACAGCTGAACACACTCATGGCTCGTTTATTTTACAAGAGAAATCAAATATTCTTCAGAAAGTTCTTGCCAAGTCTGTTGCAGAAGTTTCCATAAATGTGTGGCACGTGTAGGTTGCTCCAGGTTTTCAAACTCACCATCTTGTTCTTTTTTCCTGAGGTAGATTTGGCAGAGCTTGGACTTCTGTTTTGTATCTTTTATCTTTTTTTTTAACCTTTGTCTTTTCAGTTCTTACCTTTGTACCATTTCAAGCTCTTCATTGGACTTGCACGACTTGAAATGCAATAAATAACTGGAAAAGTTAGGGTGTTCTAAAACATTTGACCAGTAGTGTAACTATAGGGGATAGACAGAAAGGAGGTCCCAGTCAATACCAATAAGACACTTCACACTCACAGTATTGTCTTTAACTCTATGCATTTCCAACACTCTATATTATTACATTAGACTAACATTATGTAACAGCACACATGTTTGTTTCAGATCACAACATTCTATACAGCTGCAGTGCTGTGAAATGTACGAATATTAATCTGCACATCTGTCAGATTCTGTAAATAAAGTTCTATAATCCAGTTGACCCCTTTGCTCCCCATACTAAATCACTTCCCCTTCAGAGCACTATCACAACACAATAGGGTGTGCATCCTGATTTTTTGTAAAGGATTGTGCTGTTATAACCGTAAGGAGGGTTCGAATTGGACATGGGAGAGATCGCTAAATTACACAAACATGCATGGATCATAGGGGTGGGCGATATCTCGATATTTTAAATATATCGAGATATTTTTAAAACTCAATATGGATTCTGACATATCGTATATATCGACACAATACTTATATTAAATTCTGATTTCGCCGTTTCGCTTGTTTGCTGTCTCTGTGCTCGTCCCCGCGCCTCCATCTCCTTGCTTTTGTTCCCTCTCCTCTCTCATGCTCCCCTCTCGTGTGTCTCATTCAACACGGCGGTGCCCAAAACCAGCCCGGAGAGATTACAGAACTCATCTCAAAAAAAGGACAACTGGCTTCATTTATACGGAGATACTTTAATAAGGCATTGGAACGAATGAACAAATGATACACGGATTTATATGGTATATTCAAGATATAGCAAAATATATATACATATTTTTTTAAATATATTATATATATTTTTTTATTTTTTGCTCCGTATCGCCCAGCCCTAATGGATCATGTTTAAAACAATTTTGTTTTTGAAGAAAGAGCAATGTTATTTAAAAAGTAGATTATGCATACTGAAATACAATGGGATTAAGTAACTAAACCAACCAACTAACCAACTAAACCATTTCATAATCATGGGTTTACGCTTCATATTATAAGCAACATTTTGAGGACTTATTCTCATTCCAATAATTTTTTTTATAACAATCCAAATTTGTCCTAATTCTGTAAACCCTGGCTAACAGCAGCAGCCGTCTCCTGAGACTCCCTAAATTTGAAGCTAACGAACTGCTACGTGCTGTATTTTCCCTGGAGAGTGAGTTCATTTCATAATCAACAAGTCTAATTACAGGAAATATTAAGGTTGTGATCTGTTAAATCTGATCTGTTCAATTTTCTTCTGTCTAAAAATAATAGGTCAGTTTTGGCAAGACCCAGTAAGATCCTAACCTTTACCTGTTCCTAAACATAGCCATAATCCTAACCCTAACCTTAACATGAATTTTAGCTCCAAGAAATGAAGCTTTGTCTTGTCAAAAAGTCTGTTTGTTTAGAAATGCAGTAGAATGTTACGCCCCATCGCTGGACCAAATGGCGGGTTTTTCGGGCGTCCCGTGGTCCGTGCCTTACCCCGTCGTAGTGTCCGTGCTGGGAGGACAGGTGCAGGGGGATCTGTCCTTCTTCTGACGGCCCGTTCACTGAGGAGCCCGACTTGAGGAGCATCTTCATGGGCTCAGTCTTCCCCTGCCAGGCAGCGTAGTGCAGAGGGCGCATCCCTACAACACATTTACACATTTACAGTCACACATTTGGACACACTTTTTCATTTATGGTTCTTCTTTATTTCCATGATTATTTACACTGTAGATTCTCACTGAAGGCGGCATTCAATTTTGTTCCCTTTTTTTTATAAACAAATTCAATTTGTCAACTGGACAAAAGTTTAGACGCCGACAGAAGCAGGTAATACCCAAGGCTTTGCAGAAGAAAACACCAGGACCAGGGTATAGCGCAGTCAGGTTAACCCAGCTGTTACATGAGAGGGATGCTCAGCCTTAGAATAAGTTTACAAAATAAGATAACGATTTAAGGTTAAGGTTAAGGTTCTTTATTTGTCATTCAGGCATGCGAGAGAAACACATGACAGACCAAAATGTGCTTCCTGAGGCCTAGTGATCCAGAGAGAGATAAAACCAATAATAAATAAGCAATATTAAAAAGTAAATACATCAAAAACAACAACGATTTTAGTCCCAAAAGAAATATTTTATAGGATCAATGCCACAGGTCAGTTAAAACAACACAACAAAACCAAAGAATGGCACATAAGGAAGTTTAAACAACTCCAAAATCAAAATTCGATCAAAATAAACTTTTGTCATGTTGACAAATTGAATTTCTCCTTTGACATGGATTCTACCTGGACAACTGAGGGATTTTTACACAACTCCAGGAGTGTTAACATTTGGGAGAAGACTAAGGCTATATTTATATGATGATGGTCTGAACAGAAGACGCAAAAGTGACGTTGCGTCTTCACTTTTAGTTTACCTTTAGACAAGTGTTTTCGGGAGGAAATCTGCATGCATAAGGTGATGCAAAAGTATGTGGAAATTGCTTGGGTATGCATGCCAGGTTTTTGTGTACTATATGTATGTGACATAAACACATACACGACCTGAGCACATCTGACCAGAGTTTTGTGTCTTGGGCAGTGTAGATGGAAACACTACGGCAGAGCTTATTCCTCTTCTCCACTCTGGAGGGTGGTTTCAGATTTTTGTGTTTTTAAGCCCCAAAAACGCCATTACTGTCTAAACGAAAGGCACTTGGAATAAAACATTTTGTCATTTTTACCCGCAAGCGTTCTCGTGTAAACAGACCCAGAAACACTGTATGAACTGACAAACTAATATAAGAATCCCACGCATTTTCAGAATGTGTTTCTAAAAGTCTAAACTACAAGTATGAGCTTCTTCTAGAAAGAAAAATATTTTATAGACGACATTGAAGCTATTTATTAATACTTTGCAGCTGATGTCACCAACCCTGGAGGTGTGATGCCAACTGTAGCACGACTCTGAAGCTCTGTTACCCAAGTTAGACTTTAATCTGATCTTTATTTTAACACAATCTGTCTGACAAGAAAGAGCTGACTTGGTTGGAACTACAACAGGTGAACTGATTTGTTAAACAAGTCTCTCACACTTAAAATTATAGTCACAGTTTTTCAGTTAGTCACTCTCACCTTTTTTGTTGAAAATCAAACAATAAAACAGGACCATAAACGTTCATACTGTTGTGTTTTTTTCTTGTGTTTTCAAACTACTATTCAGCAGTGTTTGCTAATGTGTGCATTGTGTCACCATGATAACTGCTGAACATTCCCAGTGTGACGCCACTGCAAATCAATACCGTATTTGCCGCACTATATATATTGGCGCACTTAAAAGCCTTTAATTTCATCAAAAAACGACTGCGCGCCTTATAATCCAGAGCACCTTATATATGAATTTATTAGGGTGTCTTAGTACGACTTTAGTAAACTACAAAACCGCACCACTTGCAGCATTACGGCTCCCGTAGTCAGGAGCATCAGGAGTAATACATACTGTGATTCCTTTTAATATCAAAATACACCTGTCAAGAGACACGCTCACAACGCCCACTTTAAACTCAAGGCTGTTATAAAGTTAAAGTGCGAGCTGTGTGGGGGCAGTGGATGAGAGAAGGAGAACACACATTCACCAAAACAGGGAGACAGCGCCGAGCGACTTACACCACGATCTGCAAACGGATCGTGGACGTCTGGGCTAAGGATCAGTATCAACTGTGGTCCGAGCTTTCACCAAGACCCGAATCATCACTGAACTGCCAGAGAACAGTAACCACACTGACTCGGATAATGACGAGAGGGATGTGGGTGTGCTGGACGTTATTGTGAATACACCAACAATTTAGCATCAGACCGTATTTTTTTTATGCTTTACAATTGAACAAAGTTGAGAGTTATTGTGAACACCTTAAATAAAGTTTGACTGACTTATCTAACTGTTGTGTTTCTTTTAATGCGCCTTATAGTCCGGTGCGGTTTATTCGTGAAAAAAGTTTGAAAATAGACCACTCAATGGCGTCCTATAGTGCGCAAAATACGGTACTTGTTTTGATGGAATTTGTTAAAATATAATACTACAGAATAATACAACCAGCCTGATAATACTTAAGTCAGGGATCGATACCTGCAAACCCTGCAGATGCGTATCTAATTGTGCTCACCCTGATTCAGTAAAGTGGCTCTTGAAGCTTTATTTGAATGCCTATTAAGATGGAGTGCTGTGTACACACTGGCGAGAGAGAGGACTGTGTACGCTGACCATACATTCCATTAAGATCGTATTGATTTCATGTAAATTGCATGAATACAATAACAACACTTCATTACTGGCAGACACACTATGATGATAAGGAGCACAGCCTCTGAGAAATGTGGTTTCACTGAAGGTACAAGAGCGTACAAGAGTATAGTTTATAGTAGCTTTGTTTATGGCGCATACTTCCTGATTATCTGGTAATAAAATGCTTCATAATTACATGCAAACAGAACCAGTGTTGGGAGTAACGCTTTATAAAAGTAACAAATGACTGTAATGTGTTGTTTTTTGCTGTAACGCAGTAATGTTAGGCATTACGGGGGAAAAATTTTTATATTTTACTCGGTTCAAATGTCAGTAACGAGCGTTACAATGCTTTTTTAACCTGGATTGAAGTGGTGGGTTTTTTGTTTTTCTTCATGCAAATTTGCTAAAATCACCACGATATCAGCAGCGGTGAAACGCCAGAGACTCCCCCGCATAGACCATCAGGTAACTGCGGGCGAAAAGACCAGCGCAAAACTCCAAGCTCCACGGGGCTAACTGCAGCTGACGCCTGCACTTCCAAGTTCTAGTCCAAGATCAGTCCTGGTTTAGACCTGGTTTAGTCCTGGTTTAGTTTTGGTTTAGACCTGGTTTAGTCCTGGTTCAGCTCTGGTTCAGTTTTGGTTTAGAAGTGGTTTAGTCCTGGTTAATCCTGGTTTAGTCCTGGTTTGGTCCTGGTTTAGTCTTGGTTTAGGCCTGGATCAGTCCTGGTTTATTTTTGGTTTAGACCTAGTTTAGTCCTGGTTTAGTCCTGGCTCAGTCCTGGTTCAGTTCTGGTTTAGTCCTGGTTTAGACCTGGTTCAGTCCGGGTTCAGCTCTGGTTCAGTTTTGGTTTAGTCCTGGTTCAGTCCTGGTTCAGTCCTGGTTCAGACCTGGTTTAGTCCTGGTTTAATCCTGGTTTGGTCCTGGTTTAGTTCTGGTTCAGTTCATATACGGAACAAAAGTTCAGCATCTTCACAGTTATTTTGGTGAGAGTAATTTAAAAATGCTGCAACAGTAATGTAATGCCTTCCATTTTAAACAGTAATATTGTAATGTAATGAATTACTTTGAAATGACAGTAACAAGTCATAAATAACACATTACAGTTTTAAAGTAACTTGCCCAACAGTGAACAGAACACAGTGGACTTATTTTGTCCTCAAGAGCTGCTAATGCAATATATCTGTAATGGGGCAAGACACATTTTGCAACACAAAGAAAAAAAAATCAGGTACCGGCCCTTTAAACGTTGTATTCTGCCCTACATGTTTCTCCCTTCTAACCCACTCTCACATACATGATCTCGCTGCTCTCTGCAACCACAGGAAATTCAGAACAAATAAACAGGAAGGAGTAAAAAAAGCATGGGGGATTCAGTGCCAAGATGCCAAGCCGCTGCACACCACACACCACACACCACACGAGGGAGGGGGCATGATTCCAATGGGAGTGTTCCAAGACTTCCAGTGAGCCATGCGAGCGGCGATGAGCCACAGAATACAGGGCCTAAAGGGCTTAACTGAGGCTGGCATCTGCACAAATCTCCAATGTGGATGTGTGACCAAGAAGGAGCAGCATGGGGCGAATACAGCTTCATTCAAGAGGGGGTATTTTACTGCTATGGTGTATACATGCATCACGAATTTTGGACTTCCAGTCATCATGCAATGCATACTGGGAAGGATTTTCCGAAAAAGGGAGCATCAAACCGCCGTGTTTGTTTTCTCAGTGGGATGCGTCTATTGTCAAAGCCAATATTTTCTAGTCTTTTGAACCATATCACTGTTGTTTCTGGTTCTGATATTGTCATATTTTAGTTTTGAGATTCAGACATCGTAATTGTGTGGCTGTTGGATCCTAACAACGGAAAACGGGCTTCGGAAGTTTGCAAACTCCATAACTGCAAAAAGGAATCAGATCTGACGGCAAATCTCCATGTTTCCCTTCCCAGCGGAATTGAAAAATAGTGAATGGTGAAGGCAGGATTGATCTACAGGGAGGATCAAAAAGGAAACCTTTGTCTGCCTAAGAAATCATCCCGAGTTTGCAGCGAATATTTTGTATGTGGAGTGCTAACAAAGCAAAATCACGGGCGCGGTACATCGAGAGGTACAGAAGACAAACAGAAGATAAACAGGCCGAGGTCGCACTTTCTTGTTCTTGTGGCTATAAAGCAACATCACGTCTTGGTCGCTTTGCAGTGGAAGTTGTTTCTTGGTGAACAGCTGGTGCCTTTCACTTTGGTGTTGATCTTTTAATTTTGTAACCAAGGTTGAGTGAGGGATCGGGATTTTACTTGGATGTCGCTCCACATACAAAATGTGAGAGATCTGTAAATTACTCAAAAATGCATGGATGACAAACATCGTCATAACAAA